CCCCGCTCGGCCGGCCTCGGCCACGACTGGCCACGAGGCCGCGCCAAGCCGCGGCCCCCGCGAGGAGGCGCCTTCCCGTTAGCTCCGCCCCTGCTCTTTCTTTGTTTCCACGTCCAGAGGTCTCGCGAGAGCTGAACGGCAAATCCCGCGAGCGCAGATCCGGGCCGGCACTGCGGCTCTCGCGGTGTTTGCGCGAGACTGCGCCCTTCCTTCCTCTCCGGCCCGTCGGCCGCCTTCCTCCCCTTCCCCGCCCGGCGGCCTCCTCCTTCCCCGCGGGCCCCTCCCCGCGGGCTAATATGGTCTCCAGCGATGGACGCCCCAAGTGCAGGTCAGTTTCCGTCCGCCGCCCGGCGCCGCGGCCCTCCGGCCCTTGCCTGGAGTCGCTCGGCCGGCGTCCGGGCCTCAGGCTCGAGCCGCTTTCCCGAGCCTGCCCTCCGGGCCCGCTGCACACTCGGGCCGCGAGCGTCCCGCCGTGACCCCCGGGCCGTCCGCCCCCCTCCGCCTGAGGCCCCGCTGTCTCCGCAGCCGCGCTGGGGTCGGGGGCGGAAAAAACCCCCCTTCGTAAGAGATCGGGGCGGGGGCCGGGGTCTCCCGCAGCCTGTTGTTTGTTCCGCTGTCCAGCCTTGCGCCCCTCCCTCCCCCCCTCGGCCTCGGCCAGCGGTCAAGGCCGATCGCTGGTCCGACAGTGCCCGGACCGCGTCTTGCAGCGCTGGGCCTCGACCCCAGTGCGCCGCTGTCTCCCCTCTAAAAGGAAGAGAGAAACGCTGTGGCTTCTGCAAGTGGACTGTGCTTTTCTCTTCTCGGCCCGCGGGCCTGACACTGTCGAGGGTCCTGCCCACCCACGACAATGAGTCTGCACAAAAGATGGCAAGGTCTTGTCCCTAGAGGCGGCTTCCCCGTCACTTCCCGAATCTATAGGACGTTAGGGGCGGGGGCACATTTCAGATGAGACCCCCCCAGGTCTTTGACTTTGTAGTTCAGCTTCAGTTCGTGCCAGACCGGAGAGACATGTCTCTTTTAGGGAGAATCTGCTCATTTGCCCAAATATTTTGTTGTTCGCGTCTTTCCTCAGTCTCAAGACCTATTGAGGTCTTACCTGTTAAGTTTTTTGTTTGGTTTGGTTTGGTTTTTGTCTAGGTTGTTGAATGCTCTGCCAAAATCTTGTCTCTTGAATCTTAAATAAAAAAAATCAGTCCCTCCAACAAAATTGTGGTGTTCTGAAATTGTTCTGTCTGTACTTTTGAAATATTCAGGACACGTCTTCCCCAAACACGCCCATACATCATTTAAATCATTCTCATTGTCCGTTTTCAGGTATTCTCTGTTATCACGTCTCAGGAATTAATTGTCAGTTTTTTCTTGACAAGAGCCATGGTTTAGAGCAGTACTGTCCAATACAGTGGACGATAGCCACGTGCGACTATTGAAATTAAAATTATTTAAAATTAAATAAAATTAACGATTCAATTCCTCAGTCTTAGCCACGTTTCAGATGCTCATTAGCCACATGTGGTTAATAGCTACCTTACTGGACAGTGCAAATATAGACTATTTCCACCACTGCGGAAAATTCTGTTGGACAAAGCTGGTATTCTCACTTTGAAAGGGTACTTTGTAACTGTTTAATGAAAGTACAATTTTTTTTTTCAGGATACATCTTTGAGTACCTTATTGAGACATTAAACGACAGTTCACACAAGAAGTTCTTCAATGTACCTAAACTTGGAGGCACCAAGTATGGTAATGTTGCTTAAATTTTCCTGGGTTTATTTAGTTTCTAATGATAAAAATGTGTTTGTTGAGCAAGCTGAAGAAATTTTATGTCTGTTCCTACCATGTTGTAACAGGTACACCTACACGCATCTCTGACATTTTAAATGTTCTTCTTGGGTCAATTTTGTTTCAGAAAGATGTAAGCCTATACCTTAACTTCTCATTTAAAAATCTTAAATTAAGCAATGGGTCTCTCCCCACCCCTAAAGAAACTACTACTGCAATTAAAAAAAAAAAATGATGATATTCTACAGCTATTAAACGTACGTTTTAATTTTTCAAATGAGCAATGCCTGCAATTCTTACCTGCCATCCATTGACTAGGAATCCTCAGCAGGGCCTGCTGATCTGAGCTGTTTGCCAGTACTGGGCATGGTTTGCCCAGACCTGTACGCCAGCACTTTTGGCAGATATTTGCAGGCACCTGATCAGTCAGACCTTACTGAGGTCTCAGAAGACTGAATTTGGCTGAACCCGAGGGTATTGGATGGAAATCATAGCTTTATTGACAGTCAAGTGACTTTCTCAACCAGGCAAATGAAAGACCTATTTGGAAGAGTGATTATTATTTTCAGACTTCTTAGTGAAAACTTCTTGAAAACATAAATGTCAAATGTGTTGCAATCAGTTTTGGAGGGAGCTTTTATCTTTTTTTTTTTTTAATTATAATTTTTGCATCATTTAGGAAGATTGCTTTTGTGATTTTTCTGTAGAGTTTCATGGATTTGACTATTCTAGACTGCTACCAGCAGTGTTTTCTCATACTTACTGAGAAGATTTAGATGTTTTGGAGTACCTTAGAAGATCCTTGTCTTAGAATTCCGTCACCATTTACAAATAAACAGGTCACCAAAGAGCATTTTCCTTCACCTTGCGTGTGTAACTGCAGTGGTTTGTGTTAAGAGAACCTGGCTGTTTTCATGGTCCCATTTGTCTGCATTCACATTTATGCTACCCCTCCGTGGTGAAGAGTTTGTGTTAATTTTGAAAAGGAGACAGCTAAATTGGTTATGTACAAGAAAAATCTTTTATTTCTCCTTACTTCTCCCAAATATCTAGTGAGTCTGACCTGGAGCTTTCTTAACCCACGTTTTATAGCTTAATAAAGTAAAATTGCATATAGGAGGGTATTTTTAAAACTGAGTATAAAAGTTCTTTCTATGGAAACGTGCCTACTTAAAGATACCCTTTTTCCCAAACACAGGAAATCAGTAGGAAACTATGAAAATAACTGGAAAATGCATCGAAAGAGGGTGATCGATAATGTGAAAGCTAGATTATCTGAAAATACTCCGCCACGGGCATCTGCACATGACAGAGTTCCCGAGTGCCAGGGCTTTAGAGCCATGATGTGTACAGTGTAGGGCACCCCTAAGTCTCAGTGCCTTCAGAACAGATTTGATTTTAAAACTCTGGTTGTTACCAACTTCTCCCTATTTATTAATAAATCTGCTGTGTGTGCATAATGTTTAAATTTTGATGCAGGCTTGTTATATAGAGTTGTTGGATTGAAAGCGTGCTGCTTCCTCCCCCTCATCATTCGTTTTTCTTTTTATACTTTTACCGTATATTTTCTGTTTCAGTCTTTACTCTTGAATATAAGGAACAAAAACTCACTTAACTCAGCGTCAAGTAAAGAAGACGTTGCAGTTTTCAGACATCCAAAGACAAAGGAAGAAAGCGGTCAGGCGTTATCCAAACCAGAGTTTCTAAGCCAGAGGCCGTCCTGTTTGTCACTCGAAGGCTGCCTGGTCTCTTTATGCCTGTCTCTTTTTTAATACCTGCTCTCCAGTCTGCTGTCTGCAGCCCCCTTTACTTAACTTATTTTGGGTAACATCCAACAGAGCTACTGCTGGCCATTCTTTGTGTATTCTGATTTGCTTTCCAGCCAGTTAAGACTGCTTCTAGGTCAGCGGTCCCCAACCTTTTTGGCATCAGGGACCAGTGCTTCTATAAGACTCTAATGCCTGATGATCTGAGGTGGAGCTGAGGCGGTGATGCTGGTGCTGGGGAGCAGCTGCAGATACAGATGAAGCTTCGCTGCCTCACCCACTGTTCACATCCTGCTGTGTGGCCTGGTTAGTAACAGGCCACAGAGAGGTACCGGTCCCCAGCCCGGGGTTTGGGGACCCCTGCCCTAGATGACTTGTCCACCTACTGTATTAACCTAGCTTGGCAGGCATCTATTGCAGGCCCAGCTATCTCAACACGCTTCCGAGCTTTCAAATCTTGTCTGTTCCTTGGACTCTGGAAAGGGTCGTGAGTTGGGGTAAGCGATGAAGTGGTTTGCTTAGCATATTTACACACAGTACGTAACTTTTTAAGGGTTGCGCTCTCCTAACATTGTATTCCATGTAGTGCACGAACTCACCACATTTTGTTCAAGGGTCTGTGGTTTTAACTGCTTTCGTCGACACTCTGTTCTAGGTGAGGCCTTCTGGCAGTAAAGAATAGACACTCCTGACTCAGGTGCTGGAAGGTTCGTTGTGTGACATGAAGCCCCCAGGCTGATGAAATGGGGCTGTGTCTATAAAAGGGCAGTGGGCCAGGGCTGAGGAAGCACTTGACTTTTTCTTTCGGGGTTTCACATTCCTACCCACTCCATCCGTGTGCTCCCTCCGCCTTCCTGCGGACAAGCCTCTAACTACACACGGTCCCCGCCGGCTACCCCAGCCCCCGGCTTAGCTCTCAGCACCTTTCCTGTGCAGTCTGTGTCCTGCTCGCAGATCCCTGGGTGATGAATCTCATTGTCGCAGTGTATTTTCTCTCCAGGCTGTCAGTCTTGGCTCTCGCTTCGGTGCTGTACCAAGTTGGTGCTGGGACACTGAGGACTGTGCGTGTCATGGTGGCAAACAGCGCCAAGCTCCGTGCGTACCAGCGGTGCGTGAGCGGAGGCTTTCACCAGCGGCAGACCCTCTTCCTTGTTTCCTCTGTGTTTGTTAGTGAGTAAAAAAATCTTTAGCAGGAATATGTTTTTCTTCTGCCACCTTAGACTCTGCCGTGGCCGTGTATGGTAAAATAGGTCAGAGTTTTTAAGTGGGAATCAGTCTCGTTCACCCTGGTGCTGGTTAGAGACAGATCGAGGGTTACAGGGCCTTTAGGACCATTTCTTGTCATAGGTTCCCAGTCCCCTTCCCCTGCTTCTCAGTCTGGACCTAGAGGTTCCCTAGGGCTTTGGGCCCACAGGGAGCATCTGCCTGGAGCATCTGCGTGCTTCCCTTCCTTCAGTCTGCAGTATTTCTGTCTCATTAGTTTCTCTACAGTCCGCTTACCAGCCAGTTAGTGCTGATTTCCTCTGCGGGTCATTCCTTCATCCATGTTTAAACCTGGAATTTCCACTTTTTAAAATGACAGCCCTCATGCGTTCTGTCTTCGCTGCATTGCCGTGTGACAGGCAGGGAGGGGAGTCTCCTCGCCCCTTTACGGAGAGGAAGAAAACGAGTCTAGGAATCTGAGTAATTTGCCTCCAGTCACTTATTTTATAAGTGAGGAATTTGGTCCTAGACTCTTATCTTCAGATTTCAGACCGTTACTTCCTGCCTCAATAGCGTCGTTTCCCAGCTTGCTGATGGCAGTGGGAAAGCGGCTAGCATTTGTTATTTACTGTATCCATTCTGTAAGACAAGGTCTGTCGTCATCCGCCTGGCCAGGGTCCCACTACCAAGTGCTGTGACCTACCTCCTAAGTGGTGGAGGAGAAGCTTAAACAAAAATCTGTGATTCTGAGGCCCTCGCTTGTCAAACCTGTCACAGGGGCCTTGCCTGCTCAGGCGTACAAGGAGCGGAGGGGCCACCCAAGCAAGGTCGGTGGCCCTGCTTGGGATCGTGGCAAGCGCGAAGGGGCAGGTCGGTCTGCTGCGTTCCCGCGAGAATGTGAGGTCAGCGTTGTGACACTTCCTGATCTTTACCTTAAGCTGGAAATTGGGATTTTCTCGTGAAATGTTTCTGGTTTTTCAGTGTTGACAGTTAAGTTTTAAAATCTTAAAACTGTGTAGAACAAACAAACCATGTCAGCAGGCCGACAGACTGAGCTCTGCGCCGAGAGGGGCTGCGTGGCCTCACGTCAGTGGCAGCCGCTGGCCTTGCACGGCGGGGTCTGCAGCCCCGGCCTTCCGAGCCCGCTGCCTCCGCGCACGCTCGCAGACCCTCTGCGTCCCTCTGCAGAGCCCAAACCACCTGCCGCGTCTTCCACTGAGCAGTTGACCAAAGGTTATCTGTTGTTATCAGCTCCTCTCAGAAGTGCGATAACGCAAATTATACTTTCCCAGTTTTAGGTTACCAGCTGGTCCTGGTTGCCACATGTCTTTTTGATGACCTGTCTGGATGTGTAGAATTCTAGAAATTCCTGGTTAGAAGAGGCAGAATGAATCCAGTCTGCTTTTCTGCTTGGTGCATATTCGACAGCACCGTTTCATTCGTTCGTGGAACAGATACTGATCACCCACGCGTTTCTGGCAAATGGAACACAGCTACGATAGCATCCCTGTGTGGAGACGTCGGTGGGACACGTCGAATGCAGTTAGCATGGCATATGTTGCAGGGGTCTCAGCTCAGTCGGGAGGTAGCCCGGACATTTGATACGCATCACTGTGACACACAGCAGCGCCCCCTCGTCCACGCTTCCCTGTCTGCGGTTTCAGTTACCCGTGGTCAGTTGCGGCTCCAAAATACTAAATGGAAAATTCCAGAAATAAACAATTCATAGGTTTTAAATTGCATGCCGTTCTGGGTGGTGCACTGTCCTGCTCCACTTCTCCCGGGACGTGAGTCAACCCTCTGTCCAGCGTCTCCATGACAGAGTCGCTGCTCAGCAGTCACCGAGTAGCCGTCTTGGTCATCGCAGTATCGCCATGCTTGTGTTCAGGTCGCCCATATTTTTTAATGGTCCCAAAATGCAAGAGGAGTGACTCTGGCCATTCAGATAAACCAAAGAGAAGCCGTAAAGTACTTTAAGTGAAAAGGTGAGCATTTTCAGCTTAGTAAGGGAAGAAAAAAATCGTGTAAAGTTGCCAAGATCGAGGGCGGGAACGAAACTTCTGTCTGGAAATCGCCTGACTCACGAGTGGAGCTTTACGGTGGGTGTGCGCATGGGAGGGACCAGAGTCCGCGCTTTCAGGCATCCCCTGGGGGTCTGGGCACGTCACCGCCGCAGTGCAGGGGCTGTGATCATGCGATGTGGGGGAACCGAGTGGCACTGCGGGCTGACGGGCCCGCGGGGGCACAGGCCTGGGAGGGGCCAGACCTCGTTGCAGAAGGCGCGGCCCAGCCCACGAGACGACTGGATGGCAGGCAAGGCAGGGCCGGGCTGCCAGCAGTGGGTGGCATGTGACGAGACAGTGGGTGGTGGCCGGGCCAGAAGCTCCATGGTGAGTCCCAAGTCAGTAGTACCCGCAGGTGTCACTTTGGAAAAGGTGAGGAAGAGGGTGCACTGGTTTTCTGAGACAGTGTCACATCGGCCCAAGCGTGCGGCACCCGGCAGCTGAGCACGTCTGTGGCTCTCACGGCTCCACGCGTCAGGACTTCGAGTGTGGCTCGGTGGGACCGCTGTGGCGCGGGTCTCGCCAGGTCACAGCAGGTGGCGGGCATCTGAGGGCCCAGTGGGGGTGGAGCGTCTGCCTCGAAGGCGGCCTTGCGTGGCGGGCGTGTGCTCAGTGGTGGTGCAGTGGCCTGGGCCGTCTCCTCAGTGCTGCGTGGCTGTCTTCGCGCGGGCTGCTGGCCTCCCGGAGTGAGCAGCCACGGAGGAAGGCTGACCCGAAACACCGTGGTCACTTAGCCTCAGCAGCCACACACTGCCATCTCTGCCACAGGCCATGAGTCACGCAGATAGCCAGCCGACCTTCAGTGCAGAAGGGCACGTGACAGCATGGGGGCCGGGCGGTGCGGGTTGCTGCGGTCGCCCTGGAGGCTGGCTGCCGCCGGGAGGAACAAGAAGCCAGCTGTGTGTGTGCACCTTTCCGCGCCGCCGGCCTCTGATTGTGCATCGAGTCTGTGACTGCTTCTCAGAGACGGAGCGTTCCGTTACCATTGTGGGTTATTTTTCTCCTTATATTGCTGTTATTTGACAATTGCTTTTTAATATGTAATTTTCAAATAGTAGTTAAAACGCCAGTAAGACCACTTATTGTTCTATTTAAACATTTCCTTCTGTAATTCCTCTTGATTTTGGACGCTTCATTATGTTTTTACTGAGGGACGGGTGGAAACTATACTCGTTAAGTACCTACCATTTTAAAATTTTATTTTATATTAGTTTCCGGTGTACAGCACAACGGTTAGACATTTGTATAACTTACGAAGCGATCCCCCCAGTAAGTCTGGTGCCCACCTGGCACCATACGTAGTGATTACAGGGTTATCGACCACAACCCCTGTGCTGGGCTTCGCATCCCCGTGACTGTTTTGTACCTACCGATTGGTACTTCTCAACCCCTCACCTTTTTGACCCAGCCCCTCAATCCCCCCCTTCCCATGTGCCAGTCACCAGTTTGTTCTCTGCGTCTGTGAGTCTTTTTGTTTTATCTGTTTATTATTTTGTTCTTTAGATTCCAATACAAGTGGAATCATTAAGTCCCTGCTATTTGTCGTGAGATGTCTGAGGGTTTTACGTGTACTAGACAGATGACGAGGTCAGGTATTCTTCACATCCCTGTCAGGTGGCTGACACTTGAAAATGAGAAAGCGCAGCATTTCTGAGTCGCTTTCCAAAGGTCATGCCCGTAGTAAATGGCAGGCGCAGGCTTCGAATCTAGTTTCTGATTATGTGGTTTTTCATCCACTTTACTGACACTTTGTTCCTCTTTAATTTCTCTGGGTTAAAATTTTCAAGCATAAAACTAGAGAGAGAATACTATACGGACCCACGATGTATTTGTCAGCCAGTTAGCAACATTTTGCCAGTTTTTTGTTTCAGATATTCCATTTTTAACCTGAAAATATACTTCAGTATACATTTCTGATGTATGAGAACATCGAAAACAGACCGTGATTTCGGTGCCTTTGTTCTGCCTGACAAAATTAACAGAAATTCCTTAATATGATCTGTAACCCGGTTCATCTTGACGTTTCTCTGGTTGTCTCAAAAATGTATTTTTACAGTTTTTTTTTCGCACGGTATCCAAACAGGATCACACATAGCATTGGTTGTTAGGTCTCGAATCTCTTAAAAATCTGTAGCATCCCTCATCTCTCCCTTTTCCACGCCATTTCATGTGGAAGGAACTGGGCTCTTTATTGTGGGTCTGACCGATGGCTTCTCTGTGGTTTCATTTACTGTTGCACTGTCCCCCACATTTCCCGTAGCCGGGCGTTAGAGCGAGGTGTTTGATTAGATTCAGGTTGACTTACGTATGATTTTATTTGTGCAAGAACACCTTGGACTTGGTGCTTCTGCTTCCTGTTCCATCTGGAGGCTCTCGAGGTCCACTTTTGGTGATGCTGGGCGGGTCTAGTTGTCTCGAGCTTGGTCCAGCCACCAGAGGCTCCCCTTTCCCACGTCACCTAACGATTGTAGCGCCCACTTAAACGACCGTTCTCAATGTCCGTTCTTCCTTAGGTGTTGCATTTGGCCGTTTTTCTAATTACATCATTTCTTTTACATTTCTTAGCTGTAATTCTTCTATAACGAGGAACTTTCCCTTAACTATTTCATTACAAAAAATCAGGAAGGACAGGATTCCTGATTGATTTTTCTCCCCTTTGTCAGTTTTCAGGGTAATGAGTTGCTCTAGCAACTTCCATCGGTGATCGATGAAGGGTTTTCAGAGTCATTATGGACTCAAGGCTATTTATATACTTGATGCATTTCAGTGAGTTACGGTCATCATTCATTGTGATGTTCAGATTGATCCATTAGTGTCCCCATTAGTCCTTGATAACTTCTTTGGTTGCTGACTCAAGATGGTCCAGGTTTACTCTGTGCAGACCCTTTCCTGAGCCGTTTCTCGAAGGCTGGTTTTTTAAAATGGGAAATAGTATTTAGAAACAGCAGGCTGAGTCGTTAGGCATTATTACTATTGTTTAGTCATTGCCCCAGGTAGGAAATACATGTTTTTAAGAAAAAAATAAATCATGTTTGTACCCATGATTCCAACTGAAACGTGTTTCTTTTTTAACTCAGCTGCTCTGATTTCATACTCGTACATTGTTACTCTTGAAAATCTTGGTTCACAGTCACTGTAACAGAAGTATTTTTTATTTTCTTGACATCATGTACGTGATGGTTTCAGAATTACAATATCAGTATAAATGCCTGAATCTTTTTGCCCTTGGTGCATGTCGTGCCAGGGAGGTACAGCCAAAACGCTGTGAACATATACTAAGATTTTCATTTTATCCTTTTATTGTCCTAGGTGGAAAGTGTATATCATTGTGTTATTTTAAGTGTTTTAATTACGTGTGTAATATTTAATAACATATAACATTATGTACTTCGTATTTGACAGTGCGTGTCATAAGCCTTGCGCTCCGAGCGTTTGTGCTGCGTCTCCTCGTAGCGATGGAGTCAAGGTCACGCCTCGTCGCGGAGGTCTGCCTTCCTCCGAACGGCTGCGCAGCGGCCCACGGGCGCACCCCGCAGTTCAGTCCCTCTGCGTCCAGAGGGAACGCTTTCCCGTGGCAGCCTCTGGAGTGAGAATGTGACGTGGCGGAGGTTTTTAGAATATTGAAATGTTACCCTGTGGTTTTCTAAAACTAGTCTTCAGGAGTGAATGACAGTTTTCGTGAAATGAATTTTCTTTATCTAAGCACCCTGATTTACTTATCAACTTGAACCATTTTGATGGAAATCTTTTAAGTTTATTACAAACTTTTACACAGTTTAACCATATTTTGCCATAATAGAGATGTCTCATTATTGTATTTCATTTTACCTTTCTGTGTTTTTAAGTTTTTTCTGTCTTTTCTGAACGTTAACTTGTATTCGTTGGTCTCGTGTGCAAAGGGTTTATCTCTGCCTCTTCGGGGCTCTGGCTTACGCACAGGATCGTCAGATTGAACACGAATGGTGTTTTATTCCACATTCACTAGACGAAAATTTTTCCATCATGAAGAAAATCCTGCATCTGTGTCTTTACCTAACCTTTTGCTGTGGTAAACTTTACAGTGCATAGTTACGACCGCTCCTTTAGTAATGGTACTGTTTTCTCTTGGTTTCTTCTTGACCCAGACGTTCTGCCTTACTCGATACGGGTCCTGTTGGAAGCTGCTGTGCGAAATTGTGATGGCTTTTTAATGAAAAAGGAAGATGTCATGAACATTTTAGACTGGAAAACCAAACAAAGCAATGTTGAAGTGCCCTTTTTCCCTGCCCGTGTTCTTCTTCAAGATTTCACGTGAGTGATCGATTTCTTTTTGATGGATGAATTTTCAGCCTTCCCCTTTTAAAATTCAGCCTCCCTGCTGGTCGGCTTCATTGTTTTTTAATATCGAAGATTAGTTTATAAATTTTAAAAAATTGCCCTTTCTAAGCTGAAGCAATTCTTTAAAAATCAAGCATTTGTTTCTTGTACCATTTATTAAAAAACTACATTTGCTTAACTGCCTGCTTGTTGTCTCCACGGAGCTAATAGGCTTATCAGAGTCCACGTGCCCAAAACTCGATCGGCCCACGCACCTCACCTCTTACTTTCCACACCTTTTCTGTCACAGTAAATGACCCAATAGTCTCCTGTTTGTTTAGGACACAATCTGGGAGTTGACCTTGATTCCTCCTTTCCTTCATACGTAATCCAGTCTGTCTTCAAGTTCTGTCAGCTCTACCTTTGAAATGTGTCTGAAGCCCAGATGCGAACATCTCCACCACTGTCACCTTGGTCCCAGTCCCAGTCTTTCTTAGCTGGTGTCCCTGCTCCCACACTTGCAGTCTGCCGTCTTTTCTTAGTATATTAAAATGTTAATCAAGGCTGTAGCGTTCCCTCGTAGACCAGTTGGCTTCCGTCAGCCTTGGAATAAAATCCGCACTCTCCACCACAGCCTGAAAGACGTCGTCTGGTCTGGCTGTCCAGGGAGTAGCCTTCAAAGAGTTCGGCCTTAGCTGCGTTTGAAGGAGGCGTAGGAGTTCGCTGGACGAGTAGGCGCGCGGCCTTCCCGCACCCACGGGGGTTGGGTGTGAGGGCCGCTGTCGCGGTAGTCAGGGCGCTGTTCTGTGACTTCTGCTTCATCTTCCCGCTCCTCCTCGAGAGCAGGAACCGTCTCTTATTTGGACTCTGCCTTTGGTGTTTAGCAGTGAAGGCATTTCAGAAACGTGTTACTTAGTTCGCTTCAGCTGCTTATCTTTGGAGCAGCGAGAAGGGGCCGGGGTGGTGGGGCTGGAGCCAGGGAAAGGGAAAGGGTGTCAACATTGAGGGCGGGAGAAAAAGTTCCACTGGCTGTTCCCCTGAAGTCCTCTTGTTCCCCTGAAAGTCATCTCTTGTGTTATTTTTGGCACATCTACCCCTGAGCACTCAAGTTCTCGGATGACATTTATTATAATTCTCATTAAACTAGGACACGTCCAACTCTGGGTACCAAGTACATTATCAAACACGAATGCAAACTAAGAAGGGACACTTTTAATACAAGAGAATGGGTAGCTGCATGTGAATAATTCGAGTCTATGTAAAATAGCAAATAGAGCTCTAATTTGCTCATTTTCCGTTTTTCAGTGGAATACCGGCAATGGTGGATTTTGCTGCTATGAGGGAGGCAGTGAAAACTCTCGGAGGCGACCCTAAGAACGTCCACCCCGCCTGTCCGACGGATCTCACGGTTGACCACTCTTTACAGATCGACTTCAGTAAATGGTACTTTAATACAGACGCGGTAAAGACAGCCGTGCTGGCTGACAGCCGGCGCTGGAGGCGTGTGGCGCAAAGGGAGTAGAGATCATTTATGGCAAAGTGAAATAGCCTACGCTTAGTACTGGCTAAGATAGAAAAGGAAAAACTGGTAGGAAGTTTTACGTATTAAATTTTTTTTTTTTAACTTAGTCTGAACCGAAGGTTATTTTCGCGTTTGTATGTTTCTGCCGCCATTTTTGATCGCCATGTGCGGTAAGCCTAGAACCTGCGTTTGGAGTGACTGTCAGATTCAGGCTTTGTCCTTTTTGCCTAACCGACTTTCCTTCCGGAGAGACTAAACATGTGAGCCGGGAATGTCTTTAATCAGTGGTTGAAAACACAGCTCACCAAAGCTGTTGTCCTTCCACTGAAGTAAATGTCTTTTATCTAAAGGTCCCTGTGACCAAGGTCTGGCAGAAGACATGATGATATTGTCATGCGCTTGCTGTTTTTTACATTCCTTGGAGTGCTGGAATTAGATTGCAATTTATCACGGTCATTAGATGAAAAATCGTTAGATGAAAAAAATCTACTTTAGTACTTGCTGAAAGTTATTTACGTCGTTACAGAAGTATATGGAAACGATTTTATTGGCACTCAGAATTGTTTTTACCTCCATCAATTTAAATGGCCTGTGTCTGGGTTTTGGTGGTCTGATGGCTTTGGAGCCCTGGGAACAACATTCAGTCACTTGCAGATGGCATCGCTAGTGTGCGATTTTGGAGAGCTGCGTCTCCGTCACTGTTAACTGGTTTTGTCTCCTCTTGTGGAACGATAGTGCAATACAGAATGCTCCAAATCCCGGAGGCGGCGACGTGCAGAGGGCAGCCAGGCTCTCCCCACTGAAGGCGCAGCCGCGGAAGCTCCCCTGCAGAGGCCAGACCGCCTGTCGCGGGTCCTGCACCTCCGGAGAGGGCCGCGGCCCGGGGCGGGCCCCGTCGCAGATCGAGAACACGCCCGCGCTCTGCCCTTTCCATCTGCAGCCAGTGCCTGAGTACGGGACTTTCTCTTTCTCAGGGCCAGGGTATCTTTCAGTGAGGGGCATCGCGTGTGTGCCGCCACCCCCACTCCTGTTACATCGCCGTCATACTCACTGTGCCGCATTAGGGATGGACATGGTCCTGTTGTCCCCACAGAAGCGGTTATTGCCATGGTAGTCTCTGATACCAGCACCTGTTCCTGTTCCTGAGGAAGAAAACCTTCAGATTTTTCTGTAAATATAATTTTTGTGACTGATGTAGGCAGGAAAATGGTGCCACATCTTAAACTGTGAATTTGGACTATTCATGTGCTCATTACCATTCCTATTTCTTTTCTGGATTCCCTATTTAGATTTCTAGCTTTATCCTCCTCCTAGATTTCTTATGTTTTTCCTCCTCCTAGATTTCTTATTTTATATTGCATTAAGAATCCTACATTAAAAATACCATCATTATCCTACGTTACAACCTTAATGAGCGAGCCTTTTTAGATAAGTGACTGCCTATCTGGTACCCTGGGAAGTAGTGAACCAGCCTAGAAGAGAATCCTCTTCTTAGGAGTTCGTTAAATTCCCTGATAGGTCATTTTTCAAAATAAGAAAAAGTTCTGTGACTTGGATTTTTATATGTTATAAAGTTTCCAAAGTCTTGTTTTTCAGGATTATGTTGTTTGTTCCATGATTAATTGACTATAAAATGACTTAAAACTTATTAAAGTTAGCATTTAACACATTTAAAATTTAGAATAGCTAAGAATAGTATCCACACACGTTTCATCCTGAGTGCCAAATAATACATTAATTCATTTGTCCCTAAACTATTTTTTGAGTTCCGTCTAGTTCTACAATTTTTTGGCTCCATTTCTACAAAACCTCAGGTTACAGTGACCTCACGTGTTCTTCCTAAGAATTCTGTATAATCCGTGGGTCCCTTGCCATCTAATTTTGACAGTTCTATGTAATCATTTCTTATCCCTGATACTAGTTGTCCTGGTTGTGGGGGGCATGTCGACTTTGGAGATCACATCCCTTATACAGAATCATTTCCTGAAAAGGAGGATTTATTGAGTGAAAAATCGTTGATTTTCATGGTTGTCTTTTTATAACTGGCAGTGTATGTAGTGCTAAGATGGTATATTTTTTTTCTAAAAATTCAATTTGGTAGAACATTTCCCCTCAATTTTGACTCTAAATAACAAAGTAGTGCATAGGTTATATTGTAGGTCCTGGCTGTGTGAAAATAAAAACTCTTGTGCGCTGTAACGCGTCAGTGAAGTGTATTAATTACGGACTCAAGAAGCCAGGGGTAGAAAGTCGAGAGCGTACAATTTGGCCCTTGAAATTACTGCCTACTTTGAAGTTGGGTTATGAGGTGATAAAAGTGTGTGTGATGCTTTATGGCCACACGTGCTGTGGGGACATGGAGTGGGGGGAGTGGCCCTGGAGAGCTGTGCTCCCCGAGGGCCCGAGAAGCAGCTCGCAGAGACGCACTGTGGCTTCAGATGATTGCTTAGTGATGAATTATTAAAGTGACCTTTGCTTGAGAAATGTTGACAGTTAAGCAATCTAATTATCTGGACCCTTGAGGACATGTATAATTTAAGTTGTATCGATGTTCTAGTCAGCACTTAATCACCAGCTGGAAAGTAAAATAAACAACTTAAAACTGAGTAATTTTTAAAAATTTCCATTAGATAAAAATAGCTTCCTAAAAATGAAACTATGGTTACTGTTTGGAGGGGAATTGTTTTTATCTCTTAGTTTAAGTAACTCGTGAATATACTTATAATTCATGAATATACTTATAACTCGTGTAGAGTAAACTTGTTACTTACAGATACGGTAGACCCTTCCATTTTGGGTGAGAGGAATACAAGATTTTGGCCAAAAGCCCTTTTTATACTGTGTGCCAAATTTGCCTTTGCCTCTCTCGGCTCCCTGGCACGAGGGCCGAGCAGGGGAAGTGTGCGCGGGGATTGTTGAGTTAGGCGCTGCCCTCCTTCTTTCTTGTACGAAATCCGACAGAGCGTACCGTGTGAATTTTACTGTGTTTGTAGCCAAAGCTCCTTGTGATGCGTGCTGAGTGCCGTTTGGGACACTAGTGTGGACACGGTCTTAACACACCCACTTAGTAAGACATCCTCGCGGTGGCCCCCGGTGCACTATGCAGAGCAGGACTTCCTGTCCAAAAGAAAAGAACGGATTCCGAGAGATCTAGGAAACTGCCGTTCTAAGAATTTAAATAGTGCGTGTGTGCGCGTGTGTGTGTGCGTGTGTGTGCGTGTGTGTAAGAACGAAGACTTGGAACCAAGGCCGGTCTTTTCTGTAATACACACGTTTAACGCCAGCTCTTCTTCTTTTTAGACCTGAAACAGTGTTAAAAAACCAAGAAGTAGAATTTGGCAGAAATCGAGAGAGGCTTCAATTTTTCAAGGTATGATCTGGAGGGAATTTTTATATTGAAATTTATAAAAATATTATTAGGTACTTTTTTCATATCTTTAGACAAGAAGACTTTAAACACTTCGTGGCAGTAAAGCCCTTTTGTTTTCCTACATAAAATTGTACCGCAAGCGCCAGTGTGTCAGGAAAGATAAAAGCAAGGTCTAGTTCAAGGCAGCTGGGCGGGCCTCCCCTCGTCCATCCTTGGGACTCCTGGGGACGCAGTTGGAAACTTCCACTCATGGGGACTATTGTAACCTTTTTCTTTGGCTTAATTTTGTTGTAACAATCTCCAAAATGACTGTTTAGGTTCAGTGTCCGCATATTTGTTTTTAAGCATGTACCATAAACTTCGACCATATTGAACACTGGTAAAATAGTTTTCGTGTCAATAATTGTATCTGGATGGTGAGCGCAGACTCGTACAGTGCACTAACGCTTGGATTTCTTCCATGTGCACACGATGTAGTGGAGTTCAAAGGTGTTTAAGAACGTGGCTGTGATCCCCCCCGGAACCGGGACGGCTCATCAAGTGAACCTGGAGTACTTGTCGCGGGTGGTTTGTGAAGAGAAGGGCGTCCTCTTCCCCGACAGTGTCGTTGGCACGGACTCCCACGTGACCATGGTGAACGGCCTGGGGATCTTGGGCTGGGGTGAGTCGACGACCGGGTGCCGGGGTCAGGGGCATTACCGAAGGGGTCTTTATCGCCTCATCCGGAATAGCAGCAGCAAAAGTCAGTCTTAACTCGGCGTTCGTGGGCAGTGGTGTCAGAGCGCGTGCGGTGTGCACGGTGCCAGCGTGGCACTGCCGTGGGGCGTGGCTGCCGTGGTGCTGGCGACGTCCGCGAAGGCGATGCGGTGACTCCGCTGTTTAAAGTCTTCAGTGGCTTCTGGCCTCTTTTATGAGGCTTAATTGCTCTGCATTTTATTGAACAAAGCCCTTCACGACTGGTGCCCGTTTGGCCTTTGGCCCACACACGTCTTGAAGACCAGTCATTTATTTACTGTGTGGGCTGTGCTCTTACACGTCGTGGCTTTGCGCAGGCTGTCCCCTCTGGCAGAAGCCATTTACTCTTTGATAGGGTGTATGATGGTGATTGACCTTTTGTCTTTGCCCTTAGACTGAAATCCTTGAGGATGACAGGGACTGGGTTCTATCCATGACGAGTGTCAAGCATAGTCCAGTACTTACCGTAGTGAATACTAAACGTTTACTGAATTTAACACGAAAGTAAAAATCCGCTGTTGCAGCCACGCGAGCAGAGTCATTCTTCTGAGAAGACTTGGGTTCTGTGCCCGCAGGCGTGGCCGGAGTCCGCAGCAGCACCGTGTCGGGCGAGCTCGTGCGGCACCCGCGTGTCCCAGAGAGCACTCCGGTGGCCTGGACGCGCACTGGCTCACGTGCCTGTCTTTCTCCCCGCAGGCGTCGGGGGCATCGAAACAGAAGCAGTTATGCTGGGCCTGCCCGTTTCCCTCACCTTACCGGAGGTGGTCGGATGCGAGTTAACTGGCTCCTCAAACCCTTTTGTTACGTCCATAGATGTTGTCCTCGGCGTTACAAAGGTACGTGAACGTCGTGCCGCCGCGGAGCCTCGTGGCACTGTGTTTAAGTAAGTAGAGGGTCCTCTGCGAGCCGCCTCAGCACTGTCACGTTCTTAGCCGTGTCATCGCAAATACGCGACCGTGTACTGCTGAGTCCTAGACAGTTTGTCCTGTCATTGCTCATTGGGCATGTTAACTCAGTCCTCATTACCAGCCTGTGAGATTGGCTCTGTTGTTCCTGGCCCCATTTCGGTTCCAAGAGAACAGACACCGTGACACTGAGCAGCTCAGCATGGGGCCAGAGGGTGACCCAGCGGAAAGCGGGGGACCCAGCGTCTGTCCCCGGCAGCAGCTCTCGCGACCTCTGCCTCGCCCTGCTGCGTTGCTGCTTCATTAAGTGACTGGCTGGCTACGTGAAGTTAGGAAATTATCTTTAGGAAAAGCCTTATCTCCTTTACTACTTAACTGAGGTTTCTCTTCTGGAAACGATCACTTTATAGACCACGGGCTGTAGCAGCGCAGCAGCGTCAGATTCATCTGCTGGCTGCTCTCATACGCCTTCAGAGTGTCTGCCTCGGAGTTTTTAAAATACGGACTGCGTGTGTCCAGCACAAGTATTCTAGGAGTTCGTAGTGCACAACCATTTGTGACCGCTCCCTCCCCCAGATTCCCGGGGTTCACTGACTAACTGCCTCTTAATGGTTACATCACGTGAGCCTGGGGGCTGTTCCACAAGGCCCCCTCTGTGCCTCCCAGGACCTCGGCATCACAGCTTGTCACCTGGAGGCCTCCGCCTCGGCGCGTGCTATCGACCCGTCTTCCCTGATCGTGAGGCCGTTTGACATCTTACAAAATGATTGACGCGACGTACGGGACCAAAAGGGCAAGAAGTTAAATTGAGATTCGCAGTGTCATTCCTCAGGGGAAAGGACGTCCCATTATGTGTTTAGAGAAATCAATTCTCTCCTTCAGATCTCCTGAAAATGGATGCTGCCTGTCAGACCCCTCCGGCTATGTTTTTAAAATAATATTACATGTCAATTTTTGACATTTTGACTTATCGATACAAAAGTTAAATATATTATGCATACATTTATTGGGTACTATATTTGATGTTCTGTTCTATCCATGATCTTTGTTGGATTAATCACATTTTTTTCAAAACATACATTGCGGCACCTCATTACTTTGGTGAAAGCCGCAGCTTGGTACCTCTGAGCTATATTGCTCACCCTTAAAAACACACCCGTGGCTGTAGGGAGACGCCTTTCCTTGGGCCCGAGGTTGCATATCTGTAAGGAGACCCTGCGCTAAGCGGTCCAGAGCACCCCTGCCGCGCGGGGTTAGTACTGCGCACGCGCGGAAGGTCGCTCGTTCTTAGCTACCTCCCCGCGCTCCCTCCCCGCACCAGTCTGAGACCGTGGTACAGTTAAAAGGCGAGCGGCTGTTCTGGTCACTTGGTGGTAACTAAGAAAAATGATGTTAGGAGGAATCGAGCTTGAAGCCACATGTTAAATCCTATGAAAATGGAATTTACCTGTAATTGAGGTTGCTATAAACATTGGGACCAGTAGTTGGAATTAGAAGAATTTTCTTAACCAGTGTATGATTTTTTATTTAAATGCGCAGTTTGATCGGTGTATTAGCGTTTCATTAAATCGGAGATGCCATCCGTGGTTAAAAGTGCCGTTATTTTACGACCTAGGAAATAGAAAGGGCCGCCAGCTAACAGACACCGTTGCGTCTGGACCGTCCCTGACTTCAGAAACGTCACAGTGCGCATCACAGACACTCTGAGCTTCCCAGCCCTTTCTGCCCTGACGGCGACACTGAACCTCTCTTCTGTTCACTGTTTACCTTAAAATTCTTGGAAAACCAGAGGACCTCTTTTCTTCACTTTCACTAGTATCGGTTAAAAAATTAGATCGTATAGTTTTCAGCAACTCGATGCCAGTCTTCCTGCTAATTTCGCGTCTTTCTGTGTATCTTTTTCTACAGCACCTCAGGCAAGTAGGAGTGGCTGGGAAGTTCGTTGAGTTTTTTGGAAGTGGAGTTTCACAGTTATCTATAGTGGATCGAACGACGATAGCAAACATGTGTCCGGAATACGGTGCTACCCTCAGCTTTTTCCCTGTCGACAATGTGACATTAAAACATTTAGAACATACAGGTAAGAGAACATGAGATCATTAGGATAAGCATGTGATTTTTCCAGTGCGTCTGTGAAACGTTTTAGGGTAGAGCACTGCCTCGTTACTTAGTACTCATACGGTTATGTTATTTTGAAACAGTGGCTTTCAAATAAACTGCTTCAAGGACTTTAAAGAGCGTCCTGTCCTCAGTCCACAGGCCCCCGTGACTCATTCGCAGCAGTTTAAGGGGTCGTTCAGACCGCCGATCCCGCCCCGCGTGCCCCGCGGGGACGGGTGCCTCTGCCCCGCCTGGGGTTAGGGGCTGGAGGCAGGCTCAGGCGTGTTCTCCACTCTCCCCGCCGCGTCCAGACAGGGGAGGCTGAGAACCGGGCTCCCTCCGAAGGACAAGGGGCACAGCATTTTCTGAAGAGCGGCGCAGGGTGACAGGTTCCAGATCTTCTCTGCAGCTTGAGTGGCTGGGAGCTTCGGTCGCTCCTGTGCTGACTGTTTAATTTAAAACCAAGCGCCTGCAAAACCAGACGTGTTGATGGTTCGGAAGGCCCCAGTTAAAAGCAGGATCTCTTTTTTTATTTGGTGTATTTTCTCGTTTTTAAGAGATCATTGCCCTAGTCAGAGGTGTGTATTTTGGGAATGAATTCTAGTATTCTTCAGTTTGGGGGCAGATTATTGTAAGTTCATAAGTCAGATGGCAAAGTGGACGCCTGGTCATTAGACCTTAGAGGGGACAGTCCTCTAACGGAATTTAGGTTGGTAGAACATTCAAGACAAAAATCATTAGAGACGTTTAATATTTGCATATTAAAATGAGTTAAGATATTAATGATCTATTACTGTATAACAAATTATCCCAAAACTTAGTGGCTTAAAACAGCAGTCATCATTTACTGCCACGTGGTTTCAGTGGTCAGTAATTCACAGAGGGCACAGCTGGGACAGCTGGGGACTCAGCTGGGCTGTCAGCCTGGACACCCACGCGTGGTCTCTCCGTGTAACTGACCTGAGAGAGAGCGCACCCCACCAGCCGGAAGTCACCTTGCTCAGGTTCAGGGGAGTGAGCGTAGGACTGTTACTTCACGTTGTAGGAGGCACATGCGGCTTAGAGTGAGCTTCACGGTAGCAATCCCTGGAAAATACAACGTGCCACAGTCATTTACTTGTCATCAGATGTACAGATAACTACCCAAGTGTGACGTTGGAAACTGACTGTTAACTTATAAATCCTTTCAGTTTCTTGAAGATCTCGTTAGATCTCTGCTCTGTGAAATCATTTCTACCTTCATTTACTTTAATCTTCCATTCTATTAAATTACATTAGTGTCACTTGTTTAGGGTAAGTAATGAACTTACCTTCATGGGGGGTAGTAATTTATTACGTTCAGTTTTCTTACTCGTTTTTCTTTTGTAAACAGTATTTTTTGTGAGTTTTGTAGAACCGGCTCAGTATTTCTGATCTCGTCAGTGATGGAATGACTTTTAAAGGTGGGGCTGCTATGCAGTTTATAAAGTAGGATTTTTCATGAAGGGTAAAATTTTTACTATTCTTTGAGAATATTGTCAAGCCCTAATTTGTAAATAAATCGATTATGAGTACTTCGTAATTCGTAATATTTATTTCTTGCTCATCGTCGAAGTTCAGCCATAACCCCCAGAAGATTTCACAGCTCCTTACTGGATTTTCTTGTTCATCATCTTTTCAGGTTTTGACAAAGCCAAACTCGAGTCAGTAGAAACATACCTTAAAGCTGTGAAATTGTTTCGAGACGACCAGAATGATTCGGGAGAACCTGAATACTCCCAGGTACATGCAGAGTCACCGCCCAGCGTGGGTGGAAATTCTGGAGCCTGACCGCGGGGGTTGGAGTCCAGCTCTGAGCTTTATTAGCTGTATGACCGTGGGCAGTTTGTTTACCCTTTCTGCCTCGGTTTCCTCCTCTCTGAAATACGAAGTTCTTCTCTGCCTCGTAGGATTCTTTTTTTTAGAATAGGATTCTTTAGAGATTAAATGCAAATTTATTACGACAGTTTTGGGCACATAGTGAGTGTCTCAGTCAGTGATATTATTTAATAAATATCTGTGACTGGGCTTTGACTTTATTCGTTCAGTTTACATAGATTTCTGTTACAGGGAATTTTACAACATTTTATCAAGTCTAAATTTTTAGTATTTAAAACATACAATTGATCATTGTAACTTTTTCTACTTTATCACAAGAGTACCTTATACATTTTATAAAAATGAAAGATGTACGGTTACGTGGTCTTGAAAGTTAAAGATACTTGACGATCTAAGCAAATAGTTCTTGTCTTTTGGAACTTTTATTTATATTTAAGTACGTAGAATTCACATTGACGAAAGGCTTAATTTTCATATAATTCATTTTCTAGGAGTGTGTTAAGGATCTTAAACAGCTTGGTTTTATCATAGGTCTGGTTACCTGTTAAGCTGTTTTTTGCTGAGAAATATGTTTTCTCACCCAGCTTTATGTTTTTTTGATAGCACATCTCCGTACCCGACCCGTTTGCCTGTCTTTTCCCCACTGGAAAACAAGTAAGCCCCATGAGGGCAGAACTTGGCTTTGTTCGGCACTGTCTCCCCCGCTGCTAGAGCAGTGCCTGGCCCGTGGTAGACAGCAAACATGTTAGACGAACACATGAGTGTGCACAGGTCTACTGAAGGCCAGTATAAAACCCATAGGATTTGAATTTGTGTGACACTTTGGGCAAATCTTTTTAACTTCTCTGATCATTTTCTGGTCTCTTTCAGTTCTGTTTATTGAATCTACTGCTTTGTCTCCATTAAAACAAATAAGACCTAGAGGGAAAGGATAAAAAAATTAATTGGAAAGTGTGGGTGGTATAATAAACTAGAATAAATTTGCCTATGAAAATCTCGACCAGATTAAGAAATAAAACTGAAATCCATCTGGGTGTTGATTTCAAGAGGAATTCATTAACCACATACCTAATGGCCAGGACAGATGGCCTGGCTTCGTCACGCGAGCGTAGCAGAGAAGCAGGGCTGCAGTCCGGGTCCGTCGGGACCAGGGCCCCTTCAGTCCTGGCGAGAGCCAGAGCGAGAGAGTTTGGACTGACCTGACCCCAGTAAAACGCAGGAAGAGAAGTGGTAGGCGTGGGAAGAAATGAACAGGAACCTAGTGAGGAGCTGAGATTTGTACAGGACGTGATTTTTAACACCGAGGAGTGAAAAGCACGTCTGCAGGAGCCTGGACACTGGAGCCAGGAATAGCAAACCCTCCCGCAGTGTCCCGCCAGCACCCTCTGCTGACCAGACGTGACAGGCACGCGAAAAGGAAGGAAGGTTTCCTTAGCCCTCCGTCCAGTGTGCCGTCCACCGTGCTGGGCAGGCACAGAGGGGCGGATGGGAAGCAGTCAGTCCCCGGGGGCAGTCAGTCTGTAGCTGGCGTGTGCCTTTGCTTGTCTCGGGCGTCTGTTAAGACAGTGTTTATCTGTGGGAAGAGAACAGTTGGGAAATAAAGTAATTTATATAGACTGCTCAGCTGGTGGTGTGCTACTTAGCATACTCATCTGCTAGTCTTTTAGCAAATTTTCATATGTTTCCGAAGTTACATAGGGTTTTTAAATCTTTATTTCTGGGGGTGTATCTCACCATGAAAACGAGTTGCATTCAAACAAATACAAACATACTCATTCTGCTCCTGAAAGGAGTGTTCGTGTTGGAATCTGTCCCGACGAGCCCTAATCCCTTTTCTTCCCCGTCGCTTTCATGTCCCAGGTGATCCAGATTAATCTGAATTCGATAGTTCCATCGGTCAGTGGTCCAAAAAGGCCGCAAGATAGAGTCGCTGTGACGGATATGAAAAATGATTTCCGAGCTTGCTTGAATGAAAAGGTGGGTTACCTCTTGGTCGGCACACTTGTGCACTGAGGAGGGAAAATCCAGAAGGTGGCCCGTCAGCACGGTGTGCTGCTGTCTTGTCTGTGTCACAGCGCACACCGGCGGCCCCCTTCTTCTGTCTGAAGGGCAAGCGGGTCATTTGATGAGCTTCTTCCCAAGTCTAAGGATCAGAACTGATTGTATCTATCTAAATCAGAATTTAAATTAATTAAAATGAAAGTTAAAAATCTGGTTTTTTAGTCATGACAGCCTCATCTCAGGTGCTAAATAGTGACATGGGACGACTCTGGCTCCTGTCCTGGACAGCAGGGTGTCGAGTGTTGATGTCACCACACAGGGTCCTGTGGACAGCACTGCTCTGGGCTCCTGCAACTTCCAGGCGAGAAGGAATCAGGGCTTCGGGCCTTCCACCTTCTCTATTCTGAGAACCAAGAGCTGGCTTTTTTATTCAGAGCTTTTGTTTTTACGATAGCTTAATTTTTTTATTGCGGAAAATGTCATACTTGTACAGGAATAAAACAGTTTTGTGAACTGTGTACTTCGCTTCGACAGTTACCACCTAGCCAGTTTTGCGTCATCTTTTACACACACACACACACACACAGACAGACGGGATTATTTGGAGCAAATCTTCAGGGCCATTTTTAACAAAGAAAAAGTTTGTCCTATATCTTGAGCATTCCTGTAAGCAGGAACGGACAGAGAAGCACGGGGTCAGGGGAGACCCTGTGTAGTCGGACTGGGCCGTCAGCAGGTTGAAGCTTAGGGACACCGCAGACGCCCCTCTGCCCGTTCACGTTCCAGCTGGATCACAGCTGCTGAGCGTCACGGGCCTTCAGCATCTCTCACAAATGGTCAGAACTTTGAGTGTTAAATCCCCAGACATCAAGGACCTGCCACTCGTTTTTTCCTACACGTGCTCGTAGCAGTGCCAAGCGTACCATAGCCGTGCTTGGTTCCGTGGAGCGGATGAAGAAAGGATTCAGTGTGTCTTTATGTGCACATTTGCGTAGGTCGGATTCAGAGGCTTCCAAATTGCAGCCGAGAAGCAAGACGACGCCGTCTCCCTTCATTATGAAGGAAGAGACTATCAGCTCTCCCACGGGTCCGTGGTCATCGCCGCCGTCACCAGTTGCACCAATAACTGCAACCCATCGGTCATGCTCGCCGCAGGTGGGTGGTGGCGCAAGGCCACGCGTCACCCTTTCCTAGGTTACCTTTACCTTTCTGTTAGATTCACTCTCTGTTTCTTAGGTTCTGCATGAGTGTCAGTGCGTATGTTTGACATCGAGGGCTTTCTCAGACAACTCAGGTCTGAAGAAGGCTGTTTGATTTACGCTGTCAGTTTTGATTTTCTTATTACTTACGTGTCTTTTAGGTTTAGGTCGTGTCCGCTGCTTCTGTCATTCGGAAGGGCACTTAATTAGCAGATCTCTTGACAGTGGGGTAGGAGTTTACCGTAGCAGAGCTGGATTCCATCGAGAGTACGAAGAAGGTTAAAGCTGACAGGGATCGTCAGTGCGATAAGTTGTGTGTGTGTGGAGCGATCGGTAGTAGTTTGAAGTACTTAAGCACTGTTAGTTTATTACAATTATGGCATTTAAAATGGTTCCGTTAACATCTCTTTATTTCCTTTTTATTTTTCCATTTGCGTGCATGATACTATTAGGCTGTACCTTAGTAATTTACAACGTAAAGACTAGCATATCTACTATGTTTTTTGTTTTAAATGAAACAAATCAATAGTTTAAAGTGGACAAGATAGAGTAAATTTCTGATTGGACTTTTACCCTAAATGAATGGAGATCATCCTGTTGCATAAATGAATTCTTCCCCCTTCGATGGGCGGGAAGGACACCGCCAGAATGCATCACTGTTTGTTCACTGTGCAGGCCTTTTGGCTAAAAAAGCTGTCGAAGCTGGTCTGCGTGTCAAGCCTTACATCAGAACAAGTTTATCTCCAGGCAGTGGCATGGTTACGCATTACCTCAGTTCCAGTGGCGTGTTACCATATCTCAGTAGGCTCGGGTAAGTGACGGTCGCTACTCATATTGATTCTGGTATCAGGGATTGAAGCTGCTTGTTCAGACGTTTCGTATACAAAGACGGTAGAAAACACATGCCTGCATCTACTCGTCACCTTGTCCTCCCCATACCGTTTCTGAGGCCTTATCACTCAGCAGACGTTACTGGGCACATCTGGTGTACAAGGCAGCATGTGTTGGGTACAGAGAAGTAGGCGTGATCTCTAGCTCCAGGATGGAAAGATGCGACGGACGAGGAAAACCAGGTATCGGTGACCGACAGTATAAGGGCTGGTACCAGGCAGTGCGAACTGTCCATGAGTTTCGTAGTCAGCTTTCAGAAAAGGATGGACTCTTTCAGGTTGTACTTTTAACTGAGCTAACTTCCTTAATTGAGTTTTTATGAGGTTATTAGTTCTGTGAAGCATAGGTTAAGTGGTCCCTGAACTCTGGAGAAAATAACTTATGTTTCTCACGTTCTCAGGTAATTGAAGCTAATTATGTTTTCAGTGAGTATTTTGGAACATACCGTCTTACATAAATCATCAATTCTTTTGCAAGCCTGATAAATTTTGGTTTTTGCGGTGGAGGGTTTAGAAGAACAGCTGAAAGTAGTTTTGAGGATTATACATTTAATTTTTTAGTTCTGTCATCTTGGAATTTTTGTCAGGGACTTTGGTTGCTTTAATTGGTTGAGAAGTGAAAGATTCACCCCTAAGAGCACCCGGCCGCAGTGCCCCTTGGGGCCTCCGGTTGGGCGGTAGCCAGTGCTCTTGACACTCTTCAGTTTAAATGAAGCCCTGTGGACGGAAGTCCAGCATCATTGCTTTTGAGAGGTCGTGTTATATTTCCAGCTCGGGACACTCGAGCAGTTTTCCCGTGGTGTGATAGCTTCTGTGCCAGGCGTCGTTAGCCTCAAAGCTCAGTAGGGAGCCGCCTGCGCGTCCAGGCTCGTCACAGGTTTGCGCGCAGCCCAGCAGCACAGAGCATCGGCCTCCAGCGCCCTGAGCCGTGAGCGCACGCGCTGACGAAGCTTAACCGTGGCCGTGAGCGTGCTCTTCAGTTAACCTCACCGCGGGGCTGGGAGCGAAAGATGAGACTTGTCCTTATTTATCCCTGTTGAGATGCTCTGTCCAATCACACTTCTTTTCTGAAATGCAGATTTGAAATAGTTGGCTATGGATGTTCGACGTGTGTGGGAAATACAGCTCCGTTATCAGAAGCAGTTCTGAATGCCGTCAAACAGGTAAATTGCGTGCATCAGCACGACAGCCACGCGGGATTTCGTAACTATAGTTTACTATGAAATTGTAGAAAATATATATTTTTCTGCTGTTCTTGCACCCCTTGGGAAGAGTAACCCATTGATCATAAAATAATTTAAGTAATTTTTAGATTTTTGAAGTAATTCCGTAATAATGTAAGGAACTGCTTTGGCGTATTTACACGATTGACAGTCCTGTACCTAGTAACGGGGATGTTTCTTAAAAGAGAACGTTTGAGGTTGCTTGTGTACGATCGTCATACATGTCTCGAATTGACTATATTTGTGTGGTTTTTTTCAGGGTGATTTGGTTACTTGTGGAGTTTTATCTGGAAACAAAAACTTTGAAGGTCGTCTTTGTGATTGTGTTCGTGCCAATTATCTTGCCTCCCCGCCCTTAGTGGTGGCTTACGCCATAGCAGGCACCGTGAACATTGACTTCCAGACGGAGCCTCTAGGTACCTTTTCCTTTGCACACATGTGCACACATGTGTGCCAGCACACACTTCTCCCACACTTGCTGCATTGTAGATGCTTCTTATACCAGCCGCTCTGAGTTATTTCAGGAAGTCTGCCCGTAACCATAGTTATTAATGTCTCTGTTGATCTGAAGAATATAAAATGCGCACGTAATTAGTTCTTCCAGCCGCTAAGCCTGAAGGACTCTGTCGTTGAATAATTGAGTCATTTACCTGGTTTCTGTGTTGTCTTTGAAGAGATGTGAACATCTCGAGGGAGAATTATTTTTTTATACCAAATCTCATTAAAATTTTTTAACCAGGTACTGACCCTGCTGGCAAGAATATTTACCTGCATGATATTTGGCCTAGTCGAGAAGAAGTTCATCAGATAGAAGAAGAACATGTTATATTATCCATGTTCAAAGCGTTAAAAGAGAAGATAGAGGTCAGAATCTCACTTGTTTTTTCAATAGTTTAATAAAGTGTCACTGTTTATATTATGCATCTTGCTTTTTGAGTAGAATAAAAATTTAAATTACATTATTTTTAATTACATTATTTGAATACGGAGTTCTTAGTTATTTTGAGTCTGGAATCTAATATCTAAGAGACTAACTTAGAGTGTTAGTATTGATTTTATCACATACTGGAAAGGTATGGCAAACATTTCTCTCTGGCGTCCTGTGAGCTCGTTTCATAGAAGCTGCCCTTGTTTGTCACATTCAAATGGTTCAGAATTTAAAAGAGACGGACAGGACGGTGAAGTCTCCCCATCCGCTGCCCCGCACGCGCTCTCCCCCATCTGCTCCCCATCAAAGGCGGCCGACGATGTCGGTGTCTTAAGCGTCTTCCAGAGATGCTTTGCGCACATGTGAGCACATGTGTAGTCACGCTTCAAGAACAGAGACTGTGAGGGCAGAAAAAGTATTTATTCACTTAGTAAACATTTATTGAGTACCCACTATGTTTTTGGCATGTATCGATGATCAAAACACTTTTCATGGGGAGAGGCAGACAGTGAATAGTACACCATATAATTAGGTAAATTACATAACGTGTTCAGAAGTGATATTGCCATGCAGACATAGACCAAGGTAAAGAGATATGGGGAGTAAATCGCAGTTTTATACGGGATGGTTGAAAACAGGGCATTTGAGTAAAATTTTGAAGAAGGCGAACGAGTTAGCCGCCTCTCTAGACAAGGAGCAGGGCTTTCCAGGTGGAGGGAGCAGTGTCAGGGTGTTGGGAGGGACCCTAATGAGGGCCTGTGGCTACAGCAGAGGGGACACAGGGAGCGGTGGGGGTTGAGTTCACGTGGGATGTTGGGCCCTTGTGCGGGTGTGGTCTCCTCCTCTGGGTGAGGTGAGGTGGGGGTCCTCGGAAGGTGTTGGGCAGAGGGCATCCTCATCTAAGGGGCTGCTCTGCCTTGGACAGAGGGTCGGGTCAGAGGGGAGGCAGGATGAACAGCTGTGGTCGGGTGCAGACGGGAGGTGCCGTGGTGGTGGCCGTGGCTGCTGGGTAGCGGCGAGGTCTGAATGAGCACAGTGCGAAGGTCGCACTAATCCGCATGGACAGATGCACCGAGCAGAGCCGAGGCCTTCCTCCATGGCCGTGTTCTGAAGGTCGGCAGCGTGCCCCAGAGCACGCTTCCTCGGCCTTCAGGAGCCTGTAGATCCTTCTGCGTGGCCGGGCCTTGTCTCATTCTGACCTAAGCGCCTGTCTTCACGAGCCTTTTCTGACTCCATTTTCTCTCTCTTTTGGTTCCCAACCGAAACCATATTGACAGATGGGGAATAAACGGTGGAGTTGCTTAGAAGCCCCAGACTCAGTTTTGTTTCCGTGGGACTTAAAGTCCACTTACATCAGGTGCCCTTCATTTTTCGACAAGCTTGTAAGTACTGTTTCACTGCTTCATCTTTGAAAGGTGGTTATGAAGTTAAAAAAGGTCTCGAAGAGTTAAATGCCTTCAGCTTCTTCTCACCTTTTAGACCAAAGAGCCCGCTGCACTCCAGCCCATCGAGAACGCCCACGTGTTGTTACATCTGGGGGACTGTGTCACGACAGACCACATATCGCCTGCAGGAAGCATCGCCAGAAGCAGCGCTGCTGCCAAGTACCTGACAAATAGAGGGTACGTGCGCCCGGTCCCCGGGTGTCCGAGAGGCTCCTTTATCCAGCGGGTACACACTGTTGCAGTGTCTGCCTGGGGTACCTGTTGTACCTGCCGTTCCTTAGAACTTCAGAACTTGAAATTGCTATTTGAGGTCAAGCGCTTGCAGGCTAAATAAAATAAATCAGTGATTGGAAACAGGAATTTCCTTTTTTTAGTGCTACTTTGTTGAAAAGTCAGCTTAGTCTGACGAACCAAATAATAAAGCCTGGTGATTGGTTCCAGCCGCCCCCGCCCCAGCTGTTGGAGCACAGCATTTAGACGTGTGCTTTGCGGGCTGTAAGGGCTGCATGCATGAGGCCAGGCCTGGTCGGTGCCCAGTCAGAGACAGATCTTCTCCAGCCAGTAGATGTGATGTCTGGTTCGTAAGAGTACAGGGGACAGAATGGCACGTGAAGTGATGCCATGGAGGTGCAGTCAGTACAGCCTAGAGACAAAAGCATGTGACAAAGTACAAGAGGGGACAGAAAGGGAGAGGGAAGGAACGTAGAGACTAAAAAAGACTCGATCAACCGAATGATTTACGGGCCATGTTCGGACCCCGATTTGAACGACGACAAAAAAGGCGTGGGGAAGGTGAGGGGCGCTCGGCTGTTAACTGGCTGTCCGATGCGAAGAAATCGTGATTTCTTTTTTGTGTTGTTTTGCTTTTTTGTTACTGAGATGTTTTTTAGGAGTCCATGTCATTTAGAGAAACATGCTGAAATACGTATAGTTGAAATATGACATCTGAGTTGGCTTCAGAATAATCTAATGGGGGTGATTATAGATGAAACAGCCCATGAGTTGATTCGCGTAATTTAGTGATAGGTGCATGGGTATTCACCGTTCCATTTTCTCTACCTTTGTACGTGCTTGCAATTTCCCGTAATAAAAAAGTGTTTTTGTGTAAGTTTTACAGCCGAACAGTGTGTGGTTATTTCCTAGCTGAAATGAAAGCTAACTTTTGTAACTCTTCTAGCCTTACCCCTCGCGAATTCAACTCTTACGGAGCCCGGAGAGGTAATGATGCCGTGATGACGAGAGGCACTTTTGCAAATATCAAGCTTTTTAATAAGTTTATTGGAAAACCAGCTCCCAAAACAATTCACTTTCCATCAGGACAGACGGTAAGGACGCATACAAAGCACGTATACAAAGGCGATTGCTAACCTCATCAAAATTCATATTAAAGATTTTTGTGTTTGTTTCCGTGTACAGCTAGATGTATTTGAGGCTGCAGAGCTGTACCAGAAAGAAGGTATCCCACTGATCATTTTAGCAGGAAAGAAATACGGTTCAGGAAATTCAAGAGACTGGGCTGCCAAAGGACCGTATTTGCTGGTATCGCTTCTTAAATGTTATTTTCTTAAACATCAGCTTTAAGTATTTTCTTTATCAGTAATGTTCTAGCGAAGTTTATTTTGCTCATTTGGAGTTTTTATGCTTCTTTGGATCTTACAGTATTTGCGGGTTTTTTCAAGTGATTTTATATCTTCCGTACTCATCTAGTTGCATTAATACTCTGAATCTGATGAGACTTAACATCAGTCTTATTTGAAGAAGTCGTGGTAGAGGGAAGGGAGATTCTGTCTTAAACTAACGCTTTATAATAATAGTTTGTACTCTTGGTAATGGTACTTACCCGTTTTCGTGTAATTTTCTCCGATTTGCTCCATCACGGTTAACAGACTGAAGACGTAGTGGGCCAGATTTTACTCCCCCCGCCCCGCCCCAAATAGTTGGCGGCGGTGCCTGGCGGGACAGTAACTTGGGGGACAATAAATTTTTCTGTTTGAAGTTGGGAAACGGGTCTGGAGCCTCTCCAGCTTACTTTGTCCCGAGAGCAAACTCCATCTCCTGGAGCGGGGCCGAGCGGGGACCTTGCCGCTGCTAGGGACCCCCGCCCAGCTCTCCGGGGCTCTGAGGACCTCGCCTCCGAGTCTCCAGCCTTCGTAGGTCCTTTTCGCGCGTGGCCGCAGAGCTGCTTGCCGTCGCGCCCTGATCTGTTTCTCTGGGGTCGGTGCTGCCTGCTGCGTCAGCTACTTGTCTCCTCTTCCCTTTGCTGCTGCGGGCTCGTAGCTTCTCTATTTTTCTACTTTAGTGGCATTTCGAGAGGGGTGTTGGTGACCAGTCAGGAACCCTCCTGGGTCCGTCGGAGGGCCGAGCAGCCGCCCGTTCACAGGGGGCCGCTCCGAGTGCACAGACTCCCCGGGAAGCTTCTGGGACCTGAGGCAGCACGGGTTTCAGTGTGGAGCGTTAGGCCGAGTTTTTACAGGACGGCCAAAAGGAGATTTTTTCTTTCCTTTAAAATGCTCAGTAAAGCAACTTTCAGAGATGATCGGAGGAAGTAAAATGTGATTTTGTTACAGGGTGTGAAAGCTGTTTTGGCTGAAAGTTACGAAAAAATTCACAAGGATCACCTGATTGGGATGGGCGTGGCCCCGCTCCAGTTCCTCCCGGGACAAAGCACGGGGTCCCTGGGCCTGTCCGGCCGAGAAACGTTTTCTTTAGCGTTTCCTGAAGAGCTCTCCCCTGGAGTTACGCTCAACATCAAGGTATCTCTAAATTCTCATGTGCGATCGTGTGCAGTGTGCTCAGAGAGATGGTTGTCAGGCGAAGAAAAGCAAGGACTGTCAATTGCACGCTAGGGTCGGTCAGTGAACGTGAGCCGTGGTCGAAGACGGCTCTGTTTCCCGTTAATACAGTCTCTTGAGGAAAAGTCAGACGCACTGGACACGCAGTCCAGAACAAGGAAGATCTGTGGACTCCAGGCGCGCGTGTCCAGCTGCCCTTTCCCGGCCGTCAGCTCGTTCTGTTCTGCTTCGCTTTTTCATGCGGGCGTAGGCTCCTCCCCCGGGAGCAGGCAGAGTCGAGCATTCAGGGTTAGAGTAACACAGACTTTACAATTAAGAAAGAAGGAAGAGAGCAGCAGATGTTAAATGCAACGAGTATTTCAGGTAAAACTGACTTCGAGTACTGAGTGTAGCTTCCCCAGTTAATAAGTCAACCCGAACTACTTGATACGATATTTATCGTTTAGAATTAGGCGTGAAAACACCTGTTTTTCTCCTTAACTCCAGAGCCCATGGTTAGGTATCTCAGGTGGTTTTCAAGCAGGAGAAATGTCTTCCACACAGAGTATGTGGCGGGTATAATCGCTGACCGGGAAGACAGATGGTACTAACTGCCAAGGGACACTGACCAAAGGTATTAGCACTCACGTGAGATGTTTCTGTTTGTTTAAAGACAAGCACTGGAAAAGTATTCAGCGTGATCGCTTCGTTTGAAAATGACGTGGAAGTAACGTTGTACAAACATGGAGGATTATTAAACTTTGTGGCACGAAAATTCTCATAGTATCTGCTCGCCACGGACACCGTTCCTAACTGGTCACTGCACACAAAGCCTTTTGTGCTGGACCCAGGAAACCTCGCCATGGAGCCACAGACAGTTCCGGATGCTCACTGATCTCATCCATGGATGTAAATGCTGGTGAATCAACATAGAGACAGAAATGAAATCTTCTTGATTTTAAATAATATACGAATGGTGCTATTAACATTGCTAAAATCAGCGTGTGAAGCGTGTTATGGAAGAGACCTATGAGGGGATATTTTATCAGACCATTTTGTAAATAAAGGCGGAAGTTGAACTTGTGTTGAAGATTCTTATATGAATAACCTTCCCGAAGTTGTTTGTTTAGTTTTGCACCCATAAAACTGTATACTGCTGTTTGTTGGTTTAAGTAGGAGATTAAAATACAAGGAGCCAGATCAGATTCTGAGATTGTGGAAGTCGGACTCTGATTTATAAGTGGACTTCCAGGTACATCGGTTCCTTTTCGGAACTGTGCCGGGGACAGTCGGCATTGTCGGTCTGTGCCACGAGCCGGGGTTGCCCTCTGTCTCCGTCTGGCCGCAAGGGGTGGAAGCTGCCCCAGGCACAGTCACTCTGTGCAGTCGGCAAGGTCTCCTCCCCATCAGCACGGGTGGTGGCAGAGGGCAGCTGACAAGCACCACACATTAGCCACGGCATCTTAATCGGATTAGATGATTTCACTCAATTTACACGGTAGTGTAACTTCCTGTAACCCAATTTTAGATGTCATTAACCAAAATCCCACTCATTTAGAGTTACCGAAGAGAACTTTATTTAATCATTAAACACTAAAATGATTTCCCCTAGACTGGAAATGACCCCCCCTAAATTACATGGTTGCTCAACCCTGAGCATTTTAAAGTGTTGGTTATTTCTTAGTTATTTAGATTGATTTTCTGTCGTTTGAATCATTGTTTTACTTGGGGCGCACGATTCTATGAATGGCTTTATGTTTTCGTTTTAGCTGAAGCTGACCATCGGCGTAAAACATTTAAGTTGTGGCTGAGCACCGTAGATGCATGTCCGTTACCACCTCACGTGTTCTGTCCGCAAGAAGTTTGGCGACTTTTAAGAAGAAGAAGATTGGCTAACTGATTCCAGAAAGTCCTAAGCCCCCTTTTTTAAATGAAGAAATTAAACTTAGTAGGCAGAAGGTCGAGTGCAGTGAGTTTTGTTTTCACACGAAGATCATCAAGTGACCTGATTTACTGCAATTCAGAGTTGGCTCACACTACACGGAGTAAATTATTTGTTTTAAGCTAAAATGCTGCAACTATCAAACCAGTGGGTAAAGACCACTGAGACTTTTGCACATAATCAATCACACAATCTTTTGAAAATATTCAGCAGATAATATGTTAGACAATTAGATGGGCTGGAGTGTGACAAAAGTTTCCCTTTTTTATTTAAATTTTTTTATAAATATTTTCTGTGGTACTTTCAGATCATCGTGTTCTTGATTTTTAGTGTACCATGTGTCTGTCAGTGCATGTATTTTTAATTTACATGAAAACATGAGTTAGGGATTGAGAAGTTAAGTTGAATGTTAAGTATCTGTGACATGCTTTGAAGAAATGATAATTCCACGTTCGGGGTGGCACCTATATTATTTTTAAACGTACTCTAACATGCAGCCTGTGGGCAGAGGCCTGGGCATCGCCATAAACAGCTGATCCGGGAGTCGAAGATGATAAAGCTAGCCAGCTGTGAATGAAGCACTTAAACTTCCAGTCCACCTCGTCCAGTGATAGTACAAGCGAATCTTGAGTGTGAGGAAGGGATCGAGGTTTCCTTAATCTCTTGCTTATATTCAGTGAACCAAAAATCTCGAGAAGCATGATTATCCGTTGGGGAGGAGAATTGCGAATGTATGTCCCAGTGTACCTTATACTTCTGCCTCTAGCCAAATAGTGTGTTTGCGAAAACGTGGCGTCTGTTGGTTTCTATTGTTTTACTTATCTCCTTCGTTAACTACATCTGGGTCATTTTATGTTTAAAAAACAGATACCGTGGAAGTATAATGGTTACATAAGAGAAGAAAATCAGCGTTGTCACCTTCAAGCACATTATGCTACGTAGCGTTTCTGTGTTTCGTTCTCTGGGTTTTGTTGCTCCAATAAATGATATCAGGGAAAATGTCATCCGACCACTGAATCGCCATTAGTATAACTAACAAGTTCCCAGGATGACCATTGTCATTCTTTCCTGTTCTATCTCCAGATGTCCAAGGTGACGTGAATGAGAGGCATCAGAATTCCTTTAGCCAGATTGCTAAGTTTTCACTGGTGATCAAACTTAAGTGGTACTAAAGGCGGCGGAGGGGAGAAGTATAGCTAAGACCAAAATCAGAGTCCTAGTCATTTGCATTTTTGCTGACAGTGTTGTGTGCATCGCCTCCTCGGTGATGAGTGACAGGATGGGGAGAAACGATTGGACTGACATTTTTCCATGGTCGAATTAAAAGACGCCTTTCTTTTGCCTCGCGGTTTGGGGAGAAGGTTCTGACACGGTGTTGACTCTTGGTTTGGTTTGCTTTGGAGAAATAAAGGGGAAGGAGATGGACTTAGGCTTCTATCAACTTAACACACAATGTGGCTACGAAACCGTGTCTCTCACTTAAGTAACTCCAGATCGTTGTCAGTTATTTAAAGCCAACAAAACAGTGTAACAGTTTTAAGTTCAGTAATGTTAAGTATTGTATAGAAATATATTGGAGGCAAAGTCCAGTCGATGACAATTGTGCATATGTTATTGATGCTGTAAATTATTTTTAATAAAGAAAATTGTATTATCACATTTGACTCAATGTAAAATATTTTGTGGTCATTAGAAATAAGCACCATGACTCAAGAGAGAGGATGGCATCCCAAAATTTCAAACGTGTTATCTGAGTTTTCGGACTTTAGTTGTTCCCAACGTGACGGCCAAAATGCGGGCCACGGTTGCCATCCTGGCATCTGGGGACAATGTTCCTTTCTATTCCAGGGCCGGTGAGAGCGAAAACCCAGGTAGAAGTTTGGAAGAGGGTTAGCCCCGACGGAGCAAGTAAAGTTGAACTCGATTCGAGTGTCGTTCCAACAGGTCTGACATTCATGGGATCACGTCTTAGGGTTGAAAGACGGTATACTCTCTCACCCAAAGCAGGATCCGTGCACAAACGACATCTAACTGGGCAGCCTGTCCTGTGCGGGGCGGCCCCTGCCGTCACTGCAGTCTGAACGGAAACACAGACTTCATTTCGAGCTGGAGTCCGTCTCCTGGGAGCTTACACCTGCTCATTCTGGTTCTCCCCGATTTGTCTACGCCTCATAAAGCACTTCGGCACAACTACACATGAAATACATACTTGGACCCCCCACAGCCACACTGCACATAACCTTCATACCGTAGATCTTTCGTCGTGGAGGTGACTTATTAAAGTGGACATTGAGGACCAAATCGAGGTCTCGAGCTGTAAGCCGTGTATTACAGGAAGAAATGGCCTTTTCTCGATGTAGGATGGAGGTGCTACGTTTTCCTGAGCCTGTGTGCTTCAGAACGTTGGCTGATGTTGCCACCTCCTCCACTGGCCATTCCTCAGTGTTTCCATGAAGCGTCATCCAGAGCTGGAAGCCGGGACCGCGGGCCCCCACCCTCAGATCACGTTTTGTAAACAAGGTCAGCTGCCCACCTCCCTTTCCATTATTCCACTCTTAACGGCAACCTAAATGGGTGAGGAACGTTTATTAAAATCTGGCATTCATCAGCCCCAACTGATACATTATTAAGTTTCTAAGGATCCAATTCAGTATTCTAAGTTTGTCAACATTACCATGGCTAATACCAACATAGACACGTGCCGATTATTTGAATATCAGAGTTTTGGAGGAAACTTAGTGCGTTACCACTATTGAATTTTGTTGGCTTACCATTTTCACTTGATGCCACTTTTGCTTTTTAATTATAAATTCGTTTAGCTTCCGTTCATTTTGATTTGATGTGAGTGGGGGACGGATAAGTTTCCCCAGGATATTAGATTATAAAGTTTGTATTTAGTAGATTTTGAATGTGGGACCCATCCATTGCAAAAGCAGATGTATATATGTAATCCCCACATATTTGCTTGTAGAATGACAATTGTGTTGTCACTGAATTTTGTGTCCACATGATGTTGGCACTGAATTTTGAGCATTTTAAACAACCTGCACTATCTAGTTAAAGGACATATAAAACCACCAGGCTATTACATTTTTTAAGACACTTTATAATACAAAATCACTCTGCAAATTTCGTTTTCCTTCATTCCAGTCGATTTCTGAACTCTCTAAGACCTACTACTTAACTGTCCCAGTGGCCAGGTGAGGAAGAAAAGAATTGTTAATGTGACAATGACATGACACTTCTGTCCACCGGACTGGTGGAGGTTTTTCATCATGATATCCAGGATCGGAGTTATTGAGGAAAAACATGACTTAGCAGCAAGTGTTAAGAACCTTAGAAATGTTCGATCCAGCATTGTTCGAACCTTAGATTGTCTTCGATCCAGCAATACGACTGCGCAGTGTATCTCAAAGACATACTTAAAAAGGCACATAGGATTTCTGCATGAAGATGTTCTTAAAGGCAAAGATATGCTCCTTTAGCGTGAAAAGGGCAAGATGCAAAACGCAGTATTTCCAAGGAAGGCGCAGTAAGTGGAAAGAGGCAAGCCAAAGGAGGCAGAGGTGGGTCTGGAAGCCCTGTCTTCAATTCTCACCCCGATTTCCAGATTCAAACTTCACTCCCATTCCGTCATCCCGAGAAGAGGAGGGGGGAAAACTGCAATAGGCAGAATAGTGAGAAGGTGGAACGCGTTCAGGAGCTGCCGAGGGAATGGCGGGCCGAGGGTCCAACTGGGCCAGTAGGAGTCAGATTCTGGTTACGGAAAATCCCAATCAAAGTTGGCCCTTACACAACCTAAAGGGATGAGACGGGTAAGAATGTCGCCCTGAGGCTGTAAAAAGTCAGCCTGCTCCTCCGAGATTAGAAGTGAAGGAAATAAGAACCAAATCTAAAGGGAGAAGGGGCCACCCCACAGTAGAGGTTTGGGAAACGTCCAAGTCAAAACCAAGGCGACAGTAGATAACCCGAGCCTGCTGTATCCTCAGTAGACGGAGTGCTCTGACCTATCGGAGACGTCCTGCTGGCTGCAGACGTGCATCGCGCTCTGTCACAGCCGAGTACCCTTGAAACGATGAGGGTCACCCACCTACTGTGGCCGTGACACCTGGGTTCCGTAGTAGCTTCCTGAAAATCCATGTATCTGCACTGTCCTGCAGGGAGAGAATCCGCAGATTGCACTAGCTGAATAAAGGTTCGGACCCAACTGCCAGCATTCTTGCTCAGTGTAAGTGAACCAGTCATCACACCAGACCTATACTGTGGTCACCCCTGCCCCGGGAAACCTCCCCGCTCCCTTGACATCATCATTGAATGCAGTGGCTCGGGAAGAGGAGAACGCTGGGTGCCGTGGCAAGAGCGTAAACTGGAAGCTGAGTGAAGACGCGCTCTGCCCCCTGAGCTCAGTCCCTCACCAGCACTAGGAGCGCGCAGGCCTGTTTGGTACGTAAGACCATCTCGAATCCTATCCTCCAGCATCCTGGGTGCTCGGTCTCGTGCAGAACGCAGCCGGCCCGACTCCCGGGACCTCCAATCCGAACTGTGCAGTTCCAGGGGCCGGATGGGTTCCAGTCCGCCCCGGGCAGCGCTTGCGAAGGCGGTCTCGGGGACGCGTGCTGCCAGCAGGAAAGGAAGGAGAGCAAGGACAGAGAAAAAGGACGCGAGCTGTGCCCAAACCCCTGAAATCTTGAGAGAAACAGTCCCGGAAGTCTCCTACGTGGACCAGGCAGACTGCGAGGTGCCACTCCAAGTCGGAAGCCTGCTACAGGGCTGCTTCCCCGAGGGGGCGGTGCGGAACCTCGAAGAGCCAATCAGAAGCAAGGATCCCTGTTCTTGCGGCGGGGCAGCCGGGTTCTGACTGGGTGAGCACCGAGGGAAGGCGGGGCCAGATCTCGGAATTTCCGTCCTCAGCCTCGCCTTCCCGTAGTCTACGCCGACTGGCGGATCTCAAGAGCCAATCAGGAGTCTGGCTTCGCGGACTCGGGGGAGGGACGAGCCGAGGAACCTGTCTGGCGCGACCGCCCCGCGCGAGACCCGAGCCGCGGCTGCTGGATAGCGGGCGCCGCCTCAGGACCGCGGGGCGCCGAGGGTGAGCCGGGTGGGGACGCAGAGGCGAGCCGGGGCCGCGGGGGCCGCCGGGGCCGCCGGTCGGTGCCTCGGGCTCCCCTCAGACCCGCCGGGTCCCCCAACCTGACGGCAGCTGTGACCCAGACGGCTGCCCGAGACCCCAGAGCTGGAGTGGGGGGACCCCCGGGGCGCCTGGACCTCGCCAGCATGCTAACGCTGTGCACCTCGTCCCACCGATGGCCGGCGGGACCCGGGCCGGGTGCTGGGGCACGGAGACGCGCCCGCGTAGTCCCGCCATCCCCCCTGGGAAGGCGCAGGGTAGACGGGGGCCCACGCCCAGGCGCAGCTCCCGGGGCGTCGTAACGCGGGGAGCGAGGAGCGCAGAGCCCCCTCCCCAGTGCCCCCTCCTTGGGCAGAGGTCGGGAGGTTCGGGCGTAAGCCTAGGAGTCGGAAAACAGTTGCTTCCTGGGGGCTTCCTCAGGAGCTAAGAAAAACCCTGTAGGCAGCGGGTGTAGACCGACCACCTACCGGATTTGAATTCCCTTCCTCGCCCCGTCGGTGCACACGGACACTCGGTTAAGACACGCGTTTCTGATGAACACATTGCTTTCTCTGTATTTATTTACTTTCAAGAACTGACTTGATGGGTGCCATTAGTTACGTGATGTGGAGTCCTTGTGTACAAAGGCAAAAGGCAAAGTTAAGGTCAAAAAGAACTTTTAGGATGAGATGTGAATGGTCCCAAGTTTCAGGGGCTGGTAGCACAGCTGGCACTAAAATATATTTTATTTCTCCCAAATGTAGCGACTCTTTTTTTCCTCAAGTTTTTTTTTTTTTATTGTAAAACCCACGGGTCTGGCACAGCAGCTTCTGTTACACCAGGCTGTCCTGGTGGGTAGAGCTGGCAGCCCTGCTTACACGGATTTAGAAAACGGCTCTTCAGCAGAAGCTTAAAATGCTAAAGGAACATTTTCTAGACCTGGGAGGGAGATCGGCCTTCACAGTTGCTCCTAAGATTCCCTCCAACTTTAAGGATTTAAAATTTATATCAAATTCAGCATTATTCTTAATACTTTAAAAAAAAATTTTTTTTTCCCTTAACACTGTAGGAGGGAAAATGACACCAGGATTTCCTCTTGTATTTAAAGCTTTAGTTCATATTACATTCTGAATACTGACCTTACACCAGTTTACAAATCTCCAGAAGGAATGTTAAAATTCCACATAAAGTCTTAAGTGTATACAGGATATGCCAGTTCCCAGAAGTTTCAGATGCAAAGATTGTTTTGAAACCTCATTCAGGCTTTGTCAGTATCTTTGGTGAACAAAATCTGAACGACTTCATTTGCTTCTGAAAGCAAATGCTGAGGTCAGAAAGTAAACACGAGAAGATGGGCCGGATGCACCGACTGTGTTACAGGTTGTGGGAACGGAGCAGTGGTGCAGAAGTCACTTTGGGCGGGAGGATCAGGGAGGCGGGAATGGGGCGGGAGTGGCGTTGGAGGGTTATATTCTTAGTATCACTTGGGTCATCAGGCTGTAGTCTTGGGGCTGAGGCAAGGGAGGGCGTCCCGTGGGAGAGCCCTGTGTCCTCCCTGGGCTTTATCCCCTCCTCCTCTCTGGAGCATTTTGGGCTTTGGCTTTCATGGTGGTTCCACTTAACAGGCACATGGTCTGGTTCTGGGAGCTCCGAGAAAGTCCCAAGACCCCACCCATATCTCCTTGTCACAGTTTCTCACAAGGCCTTTCCCACCCCGCCACCCCCCCCCGGGTGAAATTTATATTCAGTGATATTCACAGATCTTCCACTTACTTAAATTTTAAGCTGGGTTTTGACAAATGTATATACCATGACACCAAAGCCTAGTCAAGATAGAGAACATTTTCCTCCTGGAAAGTTTCCTCGTGCCACCTCTCTGCCCAAAACCACAGCCGTTTTGATTTGTCAATAAGAGCTCACTGCTCACGGGACTCTATGTATAAAACACTATGTCCCTTGAGCAGCAATCAGAATTGTACCCTAAAATGCAACCCACCCCCAAGACGTTGTTAATTATTTACAACTTAGTCCGAAGGAAGGACTGGAAACAAAACTATTTCGGGGGAAGAGGGAAGCGAGATTGCAAAGATCTTAAATATTTGGTTCCCAAAGTAGCCGAGATGGCATTACCAAGGGGAGGAAAACAGTCTCTCCCATCCTGTCTACCCAGATAACACTCCATAACTCAATTCAAATCCATGTTCTTGAGAATATCTCCTTAGGCTACATTGATTTCTAAGTATGCGTAATAAGCTAGGTGATGATCTTATAATTTAACAAAACGTGGATGTAAAAGTTAGATCACTGTGCTCAAATTTATATTTTCACTCAAACTAATGGTAATGTAGTCAAAAGGACATAATCATGGGTTAGGAGTCTAGAGAAGTGAGTTCGTACTGTAACTTGGTATGTAATTTTGGGCAAGGCACTTAACCTCTTGGGACCTAAATTTCCCCTGTAAATAAAGTTGATTGTGGGGGAGCATGCAGGTAGGACTTAGACTAAGTGATACCGAGGTGCTTTCCTGGTCTGCGCTCTGTCCCTGGAAGCACACCCTCAGTCTGCAAGTGAGTTTATGAATAATTTATGGTACAAGGATTTTTATTCACCTGCCAAAACAGCTATTTTTTAATCTCATTTACCGATTCGATTTGATAACTTTATGAGTCAAAACTAATAAACAGAAGTACAGAAGCAATGTTGAGAAATGTTAGTGGCCTGTCTTAAGGAAGATTATTAAAATAAATATAACAATTGTATGTTATATATAATCTTTTCCAGGATTGTCTCCCCTGGACATAATGTTGAGTGGGGATGATCAGCGATCACGGGCTTTCGCCAAACCCGCTTTCAGTGAGGCGCAAGCATGTGCACTAGTGGAATCAGTATTTGGGTTCAAAGTTTCCAAGATCCGGCCACTTCCTAGCTATGATGACCAGAATTTCCATATATGCATTTCAAGAGCGAAAGACACTGCAGATGGCCCAACTGAGTATGTCCTCAAAATAAACAACACCGAGTCCAGCAAAACTCCAGACCTGATCGAGGTGCAGAGCTGCATCATCATGTTTCTGAGAGCGGCTGGGTTTCCAACAGCCTCCGTGTGTCGTACGAAGGGAGACAACATAACCTCCCTCGTGTCCGTAGGTAAGATCCCCAACTCGCCGGTCACCGCCGGTCCGCGCACCTCGCTGCGTTTTGGCTCAGTAGGAATATCAAGCACAGGCTCGTCACTCCGAGTGTGAACAAGCTGGTTTTTTCAGCAGTCGGGAGAAGCCACAGCATCACCAAAGTGGCGACTGGGGCTCTCGTTCAGAAGTGAGCAGAGCGGATCTGGTGTGATTCTTAGAAGACACGTGGAAATCAGGGGAACGTTTTGTTGTTATTTTTTTTTTAAACAGAAAAATAATTAAATATTTGTATTCACACAAGCCGTATATTTTGGTGCTGTGCTGTAATAGAAAAAGATACAGAAGTAGAAGTCAGGAATCTTAGGTCCCAGCTCCGTCATTACCGTATATGTGACCCGGGGCATGCCACATACATTCCTAAGGCTACAAATCCTCGTCTCTGCAACTTGGTCCCTTTTACCTCTAAACGCTAAGATGCTAAGATGTACCTAATGGAGTTCTCCAAGCGGCAGCCTGAAATCAATGCCTTGCAGTCTTTTAAGGTTTGACGTTTTGACTTTTCTTACTGTTCACTCATTCTTTCTTAATTTGCATCGGTCCAGACACCTGCGCCCCTTACTGCCCCCAAGGAGTAGTTACTGCCTTGTGTTCCCAGCACAGGCCGCTCCCCAGTTTGCTCCTGGAGAAACTGTGATTCTGAAACAGTCTTTTCTTTATATTACACTTTCCTCAATTGTGAACTTAGGAATAAGTGTTTTAGGCATTCACTTACCACAGTAGGTGATGAACATTTAGAGCTGGGCCGGCAGAGCTGGGACTATGATTCTGTTGGTACGTAAATGGCCACCCCAGTCCAGTGTTCTAAGGTTCTCCCTTCTTGCTTGATCCACTCAGCCTTGCTTCATGGAATCCTGGGCATTGTTTACATTAGCCCTTTTTTTCCTTCTTGCTGTCTGACTTCTATTCTTTTCAATAATAATTACAAAGGTAGACTAGCCTCTCATTTTTTTGAGACTACTTCACAGGATATACCTTCTATCTGTGCAGATAGTGGCTCCGAAATCAAAAGCTACTTGGTGAGGCTGCTGACTTACCTCCCAGGAAGACCCATAGCTGAGGTTCCCATGGGCCCCCAGCTACTGTTTGAGATCGGGCGGCTAGCTGCCAAATTGGATAAGACACTGGAGGTAAGATCGGGGGTTTTATTTTGTTTATAGAATTTTTGACTTGTTTGCGTTTGCTCGATTTTGTTTTTAAAATAAACCCAGGGTCAGACTCTGTTTTCATGTGTGGCGCCTCCTAAAGTGTTACAAAGGAGGCGGTCCTAGATGCGTGCATTTATGACAGAAGGCTTCTTTCTGCCGCCTCTGTGCTTCACTGGCGTATTCGCGGGATCACCTACATTTTTAGAAATTCATGATATTCTTTATGCTGCTCACTGAAAACAGTCTGTATTCACAAATTAACGTCAGGCGGGTGTAATGAGCCAGAGCTCTGTATGAAGCCAGCGCTAAGTGATGGATGGATGACATGACTTGTATGAAGGATGTTTTTGTCCTATAGAAACGATGACAGATATTTTCCAGACCCACCCACAACACATCTTCATTTATTCAACAAGTGTTCACTGAGTACGTCTTCCATGCCAGGCACCGGGGGAAGGTAAGGACTCCTGTCCGTTCAACCCCGCAGGTGTCTCTACTCCATCTGCTGCCCTCCATTCCTGCCTCAACTACCCAGGCTTACCCTGTAGCGTCCCTGCATTTAGGGCTTTTATCCTCTCGAATCGATTTTTTAGACCAGTCCAGACTGACTTTTTAAATTACAAATCGGACCATGTCGGCTCCATAGTTAAAACCTTTCAGTGGCTTCTCCCTGCCTTCAAAATTAAGGCCACGATCTGCAGCATCCCTGGCACACGAGGCCCCGTGTGGCCTCGTCGTGGCCTCCGCCCCTCATCTCGTCCGTGTCTCTCCTTTCGTGTTTTTCTGGCCACCACCGTGGAACTTCTTGTAGTTCCCTGAGCGTCATTTGGTTTTATGTGTCAGTGCCTCTGCCTGTGCCAGTTTCCCAGCCAGCGACACCTCCCCTCTGCTCCGCACACTCCTCATCCTTCGACACACAGCTCAAGCATCACCTCCTCTGTGACGTCTTCCCGGACCCTCAGCTTCCCACGCTGCACAGAGGTGATCGCTTCCTTCTCTTCGCTGCTTCGGAGCTCGGACATCCTTCTGTCGCTCTGCTTATTGCACTGTGTCCCAGTCATCCGTTGCTGTGTAACCATCCCAAAACTCAGTGGCTCAAAACACTTGTGATTGATTTCTCATGATTCTGTGGGTCTGCTCTGCTTGGTGTCGCTGGCGGTCGCTCGTGCAGCTGTATTCGGCTGGGAGCTCACTGAGGTACGTCAGCTCCACTTCGTGTGGCCTCTTCTCACGAGGCGTTTCATCCTCCAGGGTGGCCCGGACGTCCTTGCAACGTGCTGCTGGCTTCTGAGAGAGTTCCAAGAGGACAAGCGCCAGTATACAAATGCTCATCAAGCCTCTGCTTGAATCATGCTAGTTTATGTCCCAGTGACCAAAGCAAGTGACATGTCTAACCCCAGAGTTAAGTGGGGGCAGCTGCACAAGGCCATGAACACCGGGAGGCCTGGTTCACAGGGTAACAGACGCCACATGTGGTTTCGTAATTATCTGTTATGTGTTTGTGCTTCCTGTGACATCTGCTACGTAAGAAGCAGGGAGCATCTTAAGAAATTGGTGTATGTCTTAATCGTTCATCTTTTATTCTTGGTGTCTAGCAATGCATAGTAGGTATTCGAGGAGGGCTTCATAACAAAACAAAACTCTGAGCTGGTTATCGAAAGTTGGGGATCCATCAGATAGACAGAGAAAAGGAGGAAGGGCGTTCCTGCTAAAGGGAGGAGCCTGCGGACCTCATGGAGGGGCCGTGACCGTGCTCCAGAGGCTCTGAGTCATTCATCGTGGCTGCAGAATCGGGGTTAAACGTGCGAGAGATGGGACGAAGTTGGAAATGGAAGGCGGAGTCAGGTGATAAAATGCGTTATCATATATAATACCAAGGAGTTTGGACTGTGTCTTACAGAGAGTAGGGGACCTTGAGGGTTTTTAAACAGGCGAAGGTTTCTAGTTCATAGCACTTTGGGGGTCATTGTGGCGGATAGGTTGGCACAAAGCCAGAACGGAGGTGGGATGCATCAGGGAAGCTGATGCAGAGATCAGATAAAAGCCAATTGAGGGCTCGAACCAAGAAAAGATTCGAGATAGATTTAGGAGACGGGCCAAGCAAATGTGGTGATTGATTTAATGTTACGCCTGTGGGAGAGAGAAGGCTGAGCGAGACGTGGACTCTGTCCGTGTTTGCTGGCACGCAGCCCCCTCTGATGTAGGCCCGGTTGTCCCCCGGTATCTGTGGCGTGGTAGCCTCTGTGGCCTGGAGCAAATGAGTGGAGGCGTGGGCAGGGGGAGTATCAGAGGCGGGGTCTGGAAAGTGTTGAGATCCGCGGAAGCTCAGGCTTCCTGCTGCGCACGAAGCGCGCCGGCCTCGACTCTCTTCGCTCCGTGCTCCGCTGGTGGCTGCTGGGGTGGGCCGGGCCGCGCCCGCTGCCCTCTGGCCTCTGTCCGCAGCTCCTGTCGCCTCTGGCTGGCGCTCTGGAGAAAAGAGGGAGGTGGAGCCTGAAGCCGAGTTAAGTGAGAGCCGGGACAGGGCTGGAAGCACTTTCCTAATAAGAATGTCCCCAGAAGTCACGGCTCCTGACGCTGTTTCACGGCTTGCTCCTCGGGGTAGTTTTGAGAGATCCGCGGTGGAATATAACACACCAGATGGTCAGGAGATTCAGAACCATGTCACGTGAGCAGTAACCGAAGGAACTAGAAAGTTTACTCTCCAGAAGAGAGGACTGAGGGGCGGAGGTGCCGACTTCAGGTATCCCGAGGACAGTCCTGTGGGAGGACTGTTGCTGCTCCACACGGCCACATGGGGGCTGCCGGGTCAGCAAAACGAAGGCCACAGCCTTCTCAGTAAGCGCAAGAGTGCCCCCTGCAGGAAGGATTCAAGCACAGGCCCCAGGGCCACTTGGCCCTGACGTGGCAGTGATAACAGAAGCGTCACGGGAAGCATTTCACACCCCAGGTCACGGGAGTGGTGTTAAAATCAATTTGGAGGAAAATGTTTAAAGAAATAGAATAAAATACAAAACATCAGAATATACCACGTGGAATGGTCTGGGTACTGTTTACCAAGGCTTTTTTCTTTATATGTCCGTGTCGCTTGTATCTTGGGTTGTGATGTGAAACGTATTTCTTCCATGAGAGGCTACGTCCGAGAACGTGAAAGCGGCTGCTCCGGTGACCACCAAGCTGCCTTTAGCACCGCTCTGCAAAAGAGCAGGTGCACCGTGATCACCTGCGGCCCCTTAGCAGCGACTCATAGCCGGCTCCCGGCTGCACCGCGGAGGGCCCCGGCTTCTAGCACAGCGGGTCGCTCGGTCGTGGCGGCTTAAGTGCCAAGGGTCTAACGGTTTCTTGCTTTTGATTTCGATTAGAAATTCCATCACCCACAGTTAAGTAGTCTTCACCGGGAGGACTTCATCTGGAATCTGAAAAATGTTCCTCTTCTGGAGAAATATCTGCACGCCTTGGGCCAGAATCGAAATCGCGAGATTGTCGAACAGGTCATTCAGCGGTACAGGGATGAAGTGATGACCAAATTAAGTCAGTTTCGAGAATGTGAGTACACTCCCCAAGCACATAAGTATTTTTCTTGATATTTAAGTGGTCAGACTCCAAACCACGGGACAAGGGTGGAGGTAGAAATTAGCCTTATCAAATCTTATAATTTTGCCCTTTTTGCTCCTGTCGCTTTTGAAAGAATAACACTTTTATTTTCTTAAAATTGCTACATTTGAAGCCTCCTCTAAACTTGACCATTCCCCTCTCCCCTCCCTACTAAGTTTACATGCACGTTTCATATCATTACCACACATGTGTATATTCATAAATTATATAGAGTACTATTTTGCATATTTCAAACTTTGGGTAAATGCAACCTGTTTTTTAATTCGACATCGTGTTCTTCAGATCGATCCATTTAATATATATAGTTCATTTAGTTCACGAGTTTTAACTGCTGAATAGTATTCCATAGTTTGCATATGCCACAGTTTATTTGAACATACCGTAATTTTGGGGGCCTGTTCTCTTGGTAATGGAATTTTCAGTTAGTTCCCCCTTTTTTTCCCCCTATGAAAATGATGCTCCAGCACGCTAGTGCCCGTCTCCTCATGCACATGGACAAGTTTTCTAGCCTCTGACCCAGCATGAAGGGTTGGTCGAAGGGCCAGGAACGGAGGGGGCCTTTCGCCCTTTGCCTCCTGTGCGAGTCCCCTTGGGCTGCCAGAACGAAACACCGTAGACCGGGTGGCTTCAGCAGCAGGCTGGGGTTGGTCACGGTCAGGTCCTGGACAGAGCTCTCTTCCCAGCTTACAGATAGCTAGCTCTGCCTCCTCTCCTGTCCTCACACGCAGAGGGGTGCGCGGGGGAAAGAGCAAGCTCTCTGCTATCTCCTCTTCTGCGGGCACTAATCCCAGCGCGCGGGCCCCACCCTCCTGACCTCAGCCCAACCTGATCGTCTCCAGAGGCCCCGCGTCCACATACCATCACACTGCGGGGTAGGGCTTCGATGTATGGGGACAACGCTCGGTCCCCAGCACTCACCGTGGAGAAACACCGTACAAAGTGGTGGCACATGAATAGCGTTGCTTTTCCTCCTCAGACCTGCCTTCCCCTCCTGCCTTCATCTTCACCTCGTTAAAATGGTACCCGTCATTCACCTGTCGACCTGGCCGAAAAGCTAGGGGTCATCGGCCTTGACTTTGTGCTTCCTCTCACACCTCACGTCCGATCCAATTTGATCGGTTCTAACTTCAAAAGACGCCCCGCTCTCACTCGTCTCCCCACTTGTATCTGCCAATATTTTCTCACTTAATATTGTTGTGTAAGGTTCTCCATGTCGTCGCATGTGGCTATAGCTCACTAACTTATTACTGTATAATAGTCTAATCGTAAATATACCACACTTTAGCTATTCCATTAAAAGACGTTCGCGTTGTTTTCAGTTTGGGTCAGTTAACAGCAGCGCTGCTGTGAATATTCATTGCTGTGTATCCTGGGGACGCATCGCTGGGTCATAGGACACGTCTACGTTCAACTTCATCAGATAATGCCAGTTGGCCAAAGCGGTTGTATGACCTTATGCTACCACGGGCTGAACAGAAAACTTTCTCGGGGTTATCAGACTTGAATTTCTGCCACTCTGATGTGTTTCTCACTGTGGTTTTAATATACATTTCTCTGTCTATTGGCTTTTAGGTTAAACTCTTGTGCGAAGTGCCTATTCGAGTCTTTTGCCCGTTTTTCTATTGGGATCTTTTTTTCATTGATTTTAGAAGTTCCAATTATTTTCTGGATACGAGTCTTTTGTTGGTTATATGATACAATTATTCTGTCCCATTCTGTAGCTTGTCTTTTTACTCTAAGATGTGTTTTGATGAACAGACTTCGATTTATTGGTTTGAAATACATCGGTCTTCTGCTTCATGGTTAGTGTTTTGTGCCTCGTGTAGACATTTTCCATACCTTATTTATGTTCATGAAGATATTCTCTGTTACCTTACTGTTTTATGGTTTTTGCTTTCGTAATAGGTCTGTAATACATCTGGAATTGTCATGAAGCTATTCTCTGTTACCTTACTAATGTTTTATGGTTCTTGCTTTCGTAATAGGTCTGTAATACATCTGGAATTTATGTTTCTATTTGGCTGATGAATTTCCACACGATCATTGATCACACTCGTAGGTGACACATCGCTGTAATGGCTGATGAATTTCCACACGAACATCATTGATCACACTCGTAGGTGACACATCGCTGTAAAGTTTTCTCAACTCTCTCAATTTGTTTTTATTGCACACAGACTAGTGACAACTTGTGGGCCGACACTGAGCACAGACCCCCCCACGTCGGGCGGGACTGGCTTAAAACATCACCACTTATTCCAGCAGTGGAAAGATGGGACATTCCAAATTACGTTGTCATCAGAAAAATGTTTTTGGAAACCCTAGCTTAAAATAAAGACGCATCTGGTCCATTCCGAAACCTTGGCTTCTTATAAAAATGTGACTATCGCTGTCTTTTTGGCAGTTCTGGCTCGGGGCACTTCTCTTTTTCCCTGGACTCTTCTAGTAGGCAAAATCAGGTGTTCGTGGCAACGCCAGTCTCCATCTTCTGGCCTTACGTCGATGAGAGATGAGAAGCAAAAGCAAAAACATCACCAAAATTAACTGCTTTTGACCTTTTCAGAGTAAATGATTTTATTTCAAGAAAAACAGGGTCTAGCTCTTTTACCTCTGACTACTCATCAAATTATTTGAACGGCCATGCCTGAGAAAGAGCTATGGAAAGAGAATGAACTGGTGTGTTCGGTAACCTTTTTTACATGGCTTGATTTTTCTCCTTTCAGGCATCAACCATGGAGACCTTAATGACCATAACATTTTGATAGAGCCCAGCGAGTCGGCCTGTGGAGATGCTACGTATCGAGTGTCCGGGGTTGTGGACTTTGATGACATGAGCTATGGCTACTATGTGTTCGAAGTGGCAATCACCATCATGTACATGATGGTCGAAAGCAAGACCCCTGTACAAGTGGGCGGTCATGTCCTCGCCGGGTTCGAAAGTATAGTCCCGCTGACACCGGTAGAAAGGGGTGCTTTGTTTCTACTTGTGTGCAGTCGATTTTGTCAGTCACTTGTCATGGCTGCATACTCTTGCCAGCTGCACCCAGAGAATGAAGAATATCTCATGATTACTGCAAAAACTGGATGGAAGCACTTACAGCAAATGTTTGACACGGGCCAGAAAGCTGTAGAAGAAATCTGGTTTGACACCGCCAAGTCCTACGAATCTGGGATCTCCATGTGACTGCATAAAAGTTCACATTAACTCGTGTAATTAAAAACTCAATAGGACCAAATCTAATCCTTTAAGGGATTTCCCTGCACCGTCAAAAATGAGTTGATGGAACATATCAATGCATGTGAAGTCGCCAAGGTCTTCAATCTCACGATGATTTTTTTAAACTAAGAAATACTACATGAGCTGTCACGTCCTCGTGGGTCTCCCTTGCCTTATGTCAAAACACGCACGATGATATTCTAAATCAGTCTCTCGAGGTCTGTTCCAGACCTCGCCAACTTTCTGGCCCAACGAATCGAAAACAGAAAGAGTAGGTAGTTCACTATTAGGGACCGAACTGGGTAAGAAAAAGGGTGGAAAGGAGAGATGGGCAACGACACGTTAGCAACATGAGTTTCGGGAAAGCGGTGGAATGCCGCGTGTGCGGCGATGGTTCCTGCTGCTTTCTACTGAGGTTACTGGGGACTCGCTGCTGAGCAGGTGAAAGGCAGAGGAGCCTGAAGTGCAAGTGTCCGGACGGCGCGGTTCCGACGCACTGGGGACCATTCTGAGAACAGAGCAGGAGTAGAGCAATTCCGCGGGGCCGGAGGGAAAGGGAAGGCGGTGCGCGGAGGGAGGGGACAGCCATCCCTCGGCTTTCGGCTTGGCTGGGGCCTTCCGCGGCCTGGCCCCGCCCCGGCGGCTCTGCGCACGCGCGGCGGCCATAGTGGCAGCGGACCCGGCGGCGGCGTCATCATCGTTCCCCGCGGAGTGAAGCTCCCCGCGCAGACCTCGACTCCAGAGTCTCCCCTCGGTGAGTCCGCGTCCCCGGGCCCCGCGGAAGC